AAGTTCAGTGGCACTGTGACTATTTGGCCAAAAACCATTCCCTCCGATTTCGTCCACATTCTTTCCGATCCTAGCCCTGAAAGGCTCGCCCGCATGATACATGTCGGCCAACAAAGCACTTTCTCCAAGATTCAATTTATCCAAAACCGACTCAAGGTCGAGAATGCGATCATGAAAGGACTCCAGGAATCCAGAACGGGTGGACGTGCGCTGTCTCCCATCCTCTCTCGTCGACTCCGCAAGCGAGAGAATGAAAATCCAGACTCCATGGTCGAGCGTTTAGATGACAATCTCCCCGAGCGTGATGGGTCTGACTACAGGAGCGAGTCGCGCTTCGTTGACTTGTCGGATAGCATGTCCCAATCCACCTGCTCATCACGTCCTCAGACCCCAAGCACCCGGCGGGGAAGCGTGATTGAGGAGATAGGACGCCAGACCGCTGTTTTCTTTGACGATGCGGACTACTATCGGGACGAAGACGCCGTGGTCATCTGATGAAAATACAGGCGGCTCGAGCGGCTTCATAAAAGGTTATAGCTCAAACTAGAGTTTTTCTACTTCGGGGCAGCTGCAGCCCTATCTTTCGTCATTATCCTTCCCGCTACCTTGGATCTCCAATATGACAGGCGCCTCTTGCCGGTCTTTGCGGGCACTTTCGGATAATACACCCATTATCCTTGTCTGGTGTCTTTGCTTTTTTTTTGTTTCCCGCTCCCCACTTCATCAGCATAGCAAGGTGTCTTCTGTCTTATTGATATGCATTTGATCGTTTTTGGCTTCACTTGTTATTTTGGCCTGCTCTTGGTCATATGACAGGTTTGATTCTTTTTTCTTTGTCAAGATAGGCTATGTGTGTATAAACAGTTTCAATTGTACGAATACTAAAGTTTGGGGATATATTCTAATCGAAGAGCCTCACGTGGAAATGTACATTTGTCAGATATAAAGTATCAAAAACTATCATCTGCCAGAATTCGGCTTGGCCGAGCGGGGGAGTATCAAAAGTGACATCAGCCTTGAAACACTGAAAATACAGAAAGTTTCAAATGTTAAATTACCCAAAGCCATTTAGATATTTTTCAATTTGTAAATGATCAACCGCTAGTTCGCAATGACGGTTTTCTTTTCCAGTTCTCGTATGTCATCCAGATGTAGATCATTTATATTAAACCTACACACCTACGTTTCCACCCCTGCGTCGCGACAATACCCCAAACCTTTCTCCGCGGTAATAGATACAAATTTAATACATACAAATGAACGTGAATAGTGCTATAAATGAAGGAACTGAATTATATTCAGCTGATGTCATAGTTCTGCTTTAAGTATATGCATGATTCATCTTTATGCTATTGATGAATCGTATGGCTTCACGAAACAATGTATCCACTGCATCAGTGGTCTAGTGGTTATGATGCTAGTCTTCCAGATTAGGAAATATTCCTGATCCAGTTAACTGGCGAGGGGGTTCGATTCCCTCCTGATGCATTCTTTTTTTCAGCTTCAGATTACAGCGGGTTCTCGGTTGAACTTTTTATTTGTTTGGTTTATACTCTTTTCTCTAGTTGGAAGGTGTCGAGACGCCAGTGTGTGATAGCATACAGGGTAGGTTATATTTACCTGCAATCTTGAGAGTGGCTGTGAGAATATTGGATTTATTGCGTAGCTCGTAGCAAGGGATTCGCTCTCAATGTAACGTTGTTAAATTAGTCTGTAAGCCCCAAATTGAGAACTGGGCTGGTGAACGTCATCGTACATCAATGTAGATAAGCACTCGTTAAATTCGTTTCAAGTCCATCAAGCGTAAGAAAAGCAGTTCCAGGGTGGTGGTAGTTTGGAGTACACGCTCGAGGCAATATATAGGGTTGGTTTCTGAGTAATTCATGGAAGTTTCATACATAGCTACCATGGTTCTCCTATATAAGCCTGCCGTTGATCATGAAATTCCAAGTAAAGTTAGTATAATCTACTATACGAAAGTATAGATATTTCTCAAGCTTCTATATATACTCTTTAGTGCAAAGCATATTATCAAACGATACTTCCGTGCAATAAACCAAAACTTCAAGCATCTGTTCGTCGGATCCGAATACCACCATGCCATCCAACCCATCCCTTCTCAGACGGACCACGAAGGAGACAAATAACCAGCGCCGCCCCAATAAACGCCAGATTGACACTTCCCGACAAAATCCACCCCCCTTGACTGTAGAGACGATTCCCAACAGAGGTACCCATGAGCTGACCACAGAACACGCCCATCATGTATCCCGTGTTAATGCGATTCCGCGCCTTGGGCGCAACACTGTATATCGAAACGCGATTGGCAATCTGCGTCATCTGCAGACCGAAATCCTGCAGTGCAGCCTGGAGAATTGGTCCCGCGACACTGAACGTGCCTGTATAAGTCCCGACACTGACGCCGGTGATCAGGATGCCGAGACTGATAAGAATGGAGAATTGCGGTACGAATTTGTCGATCATGTAGCGTGAGTAGAGTGGACCTAGGAACATGGGTGTAAGGCCTGCCAGGGAGAATAGTCCGATTGTCAAGGTTGGATAGTTGTATGGATCGCCGGATAGGAGGAAGGTGAGTGTTGTCCAGAAACTGGTGAATGTGGCTGAGAGAAAGAATCCCATGAGAGTTGCTTGAACGAGTACTGGGGATGTCCAGTAGTATCCGATGATGGAATATAGGATTTTGAAATAGGAGATGTTGGTGTTTGTTGATGGGTAGTCGGGCATGAATACCCACAGAAGGGCGAAAATGAGGAATTGGAGGGCTAGTGATAGCCAATAGATATTTCGCCAGTGTGAGTATTCTGCGACTATACCTGAGAGTAGGCGGGCGAAGAGAAGGCCTAGGACGAGTCCTGAAGATACGATTGATAGGGCTGTTGCGCGCCGAGCTGGGGGGACGAGATCTCCGACGAGAGGGAGCATGATTTGCTGTATAGATAATGAGAACTTTTGCTTCAAGGCAGAGGCTTGGATATGCTTGCTTGTCTGGAATCACTTACTGGAGTAACAGTCGTGACCGAAGACAGATAACTTAGAACGAGAAATACTTCGAATGACTTGGTGATACAGATACCAATCCACAATACCGCAGTAATAAGCGTCAACAGCAAAACGAACTGCCTTCTTCGAACTAAGTCCCCAAGAGGACAGAGAAGGATTAATCCCGTCGCATATCCAGCCTGGCTGCAGGTCGGGATCAATGAGACTCGTTCATGCGAGACGTCGAAGAACCGAGCTAGAACATCAAGAATGGGATGTGAATAGTATAGATTGGCAACCTGTATGACTATATTAGCATTTATTATGGCATATTTCAATACTTTCCTATGACATACCGTGAACGTTCCCGAGAATGCGAACAGGAGGTTCAAAGGCAAGCCGAATTTACTCGGGTTTTCTGTATTCCACCGACATCGCGGCGGTGTCCATGAAATGATATCGACAAAGCGTCTCCAATAATTTCGTTTCCCTATTGGCTCTTCTGTCGTGCTTTGAACATTGGTATCATAGCCTTTTTCATCTTCATCGAACTCCTGGATCGTAGGGGAATGGGAGTGTGCCGAGGTGATCGGCAATAGTTCTGCAGGACTTTCGATTTGAGAGCTGGAATGGTTTCCCACTCTTTGGGTGTTTTCTGTAGTCATTTTCTAGAGCTTGAGATCTTGGCCGTAAGCTCTTCTCTATTTCATTGACTCAATGACATCAACGAGATCGAAAGACATAAGCATTCGGTTCGGAGGGGATTTATGCGAGATTGGGCCGAAAAAGCTTTAAAAGGATCATATCTGCAGACTCGGCATTTTTTAGCCAGTAATAAGCCGAAGCTATAAGGCGCGCATATATATATTCGAAGGTGTGAGATGCTGATTATCAAGAATCTCAATGTAACATTTCCGCACTCGGCCCCCACATTCTCGGGCAGATCCGCTGTCAACTTTACACAAAGATATTCAGTGATTGTCTTGAAATCAACCTCTTCCCTTCATCTTATGGCCCCTATCTCTTCCAGATGCTCACCAAACCTCTCCAGTAGAGGTTTGCCGCCGATAATGGGATTACCAGTCCTATATTTCCTAATATGCCTATACTCTCAGCCGCTTCTGCATTCCACCAGAAATGTGGCCATAGCATTAACTGAGCTTCTTGGCCACCCATAGATTCTGTGTGAATGACCCAAATCTTTAGAAGATAATGAAGTTGACCTCTCTCGTTATAATGATGCTGACCATTAATCTCTAGGGCCGGTTGACGAATGCCTTTTAGCTTCGAAATCTGGGCCTTGTGGGCTTCAGTTATAGGTGCAGGAAAGTAAATCCAGAAAAATTCAACGCGTGATTTCAGTAAGGTGTCGAGGTGGAGGGATCTACGAGAAAATGTCTCATATGAGGACAACGTGTAATATTCCCCTACTCTGAAGATTCTCCTGATAGAGCTGAGAGGAAGGCGAGGCTGTGAATTTTCTCTCGTCCAAGGTTCTCTTCCATCCTTTATGACAGGTATTAGCCGAGTCTTGCCCGTTTGATGCACGACTCACCTGTTATCAGAAGAATCATGTCCGGGCTCTGAAGTCTTGCCCATCCAGACTCATCGTGTCCCGGGGCCTGAATCAGTGGCTGAAACAATTCAGCCCATTCGGTATCTAGCTCCAGATCTTTGGGAACTTGGAGTTTGGTCCAGATAAGGATTCCTTGACGGTGATCCATCTGCAGTAGGGTACGCCATGGCTGAAGAGATGTAGAAAGGATCTTTGGAGTTCGGAATTAAATATAGGCAGCCGCTAGTGATAAACAAGTAGCAAGTGGCAAGGTCTAGGCTAAAACGGGAAGGGAAAATAGAGACCGAAATCAGGTAAACCTGCACAATATAAAGGCTTGTTTGCATACAATATTCTGTAGATTAACTCATATAATACACATGAAATGAAGGCGCATTACTTTTTCCAACAGATAGCCTGGAAAGCAGGCAAGCACGAACTGATATCAGATCACAAGCCACTTTTCTGTAACAGCCTTTGCCGTCTTTGTATTGCCACTGAGAACGTGAATACATTGTAGCGCATAAGCGGCCTCGCGGGAGAAATCCTCAACAAAATTTTGGCTAGTGAGCTGGGGTTGGCCATCATCGCCCATAATCACATCACCATCTGTTGTAGATGTTGGTTCTTGATGTGAATTTTTCTTAGCCTGTTGCTGAATCTGCTCGCCAATTTTCAACACTCGGTTGTACCCTTCGATAGCAAGGTGGGCCAGACCAAGCGAGTGGTAGACGCGGGCGAAATTGAATTCCATCTCCTGTTTTTCGGCTAGGAGAGTTCCCGGCTTCTCCCGAACCAGCCGGTATTCATGCATAAAGGACAGTCCTTGCATGATGAGGTAGTGACGATTCTCGGATTGTCGTTTGAGAGAGTGGTGGATGTATGAGAGTGCGATGGAGAGGAGAACGGCCGGGTTTTGGTCATCTAGGGCGTATGCTCGGAAGAAATAGTTCAGCGCGGGATAGAAACTGTTTCCGGAGTACAGCATGTGGCCATAGAGCACAAGAAGAGCAATGTCCAACTCTTTCGCGGTGATGGGCTCACCGGCTTCGTCCCGTGTGGATAGAGTGGCGCGTTCTTTCCAGATAGAGTGCCGGATGGGTCGAGGGGTATCTTGTGGCATCGTAAAGTCTATCGCCTTGATTTGGCGAAGCATGAATTTCATGTTTCCAGAGGAATGGAAAAGAGATCGGTGAGGGTCACCACATAGATGACCCAGCATAGAGAAAAGTCGATAAGTGTCGGTGACAAACTGGTATTCTTTGATAAACCAGCGGGCTTCATTGGCCAGTGTCTCTTCATCTCGTGCGCGGAGAGCGCATGCTATAAAGGTGTCAGTAGATAATCAATTGGCAGTGAATTGAATGAACTCACTGAACCAGCAAACATGAATCAATCGCGACTTGGGCTTCGAGTGCAACCAGATGCTTGCAATCGCCGCAGAATCAAGGGTCTCATATGCTTCTTCTGGCTCGCCTTGTTCTGCTACAAGCAGAGCATACTGCAGGAAAATGTCAAGCCACTCATCAAATGGTATTCCATGGTAGTCAGTGGGAATGGCACCCTGCAAGGGCTCCTCCGTGACATCTCCTAAATATGACATTAGCATGGTATGTATGGATGGATTGACTGAGGTGACAAACCCATGGTTTCCTGAAGACGACCCGCCATTCGCTGCATTTCATCCATCATTGTGCCGTTCTTGGTCTGGTTCTTGGATTTTACACCAGTCGAATACCCCCTAAAGGCAATACTTCGATCCATCGGGTAGAATGCCCGATTGTTTTTGAAATCTCGCAGCAGTGCATCAGCAATGTCCAGCCAATCTTCAATGGCTACAGGGACACCGTCTTTGACTTGGGGATTCAACTCTAACAACTTTGCATATAAGAATTGAATATCATCAGTCCGAGTCCCTTCGCCAGGTTGCGCCCGTCCTTTGCCAGTGGCCGAAGGAGCTGCGTTCATAAGTGTAGCTGTCTGTGTCGGTTTGGGCGCAATTGCCCGGAGGGGTTCTGAACCAGCCATCTTGAACTCGATGGCAAGTTGTTCAAGTCTGGTGTCCTTTCTTCTTCCCCGGCTGCGATTTTCCTGTCGCCCGATCAGGACTGCCTCGCCGACATACTTCATAGCCTGTTCGCTCATCCCGAGGCTCTCATATAGCTTCGCTAGTAGTACTCGCGACTCCATATGACTAGAATCGTGTTCAGCGACGAGTAGATAACAACTTTCAGCATCTTCCACCTTGCCCAGCTGCATGCAGCAATCAGCCATGGCCATGAAAAAGCCGATATCAGCATGTTCAGCAGTCTGCTGGATGGGCGTATAATATCGGAGTGCTTCCTCCAAGACACCGGCCTGTTTTAGAGCATCTGCCACCTCCCTGAAAAGATCACCATAGTCGAAAATACGGGCACCTTCGGAATCATCTTCTGGGTTAAGCCATTCAAAGTGATGCTGGGTTGTATTTTGTCAGTACTGTTATTCAATCATTATTGTTATCAGGGATCAAACTCACCAATGCCTCGCTGTGATGCTTGTCGCCCATCCTTAGACGGAAAACACCCATTTTTATCCGTAGCTCCAGCGGAAGACCAAGTCCATACGATTCTCGAGGCCACTGACCGGGCAGAAACCCATCGGTTTTGATGCGTCGAGGCGAATCATCAGCATCCCATTCTCTGTCGTCATCGTCGATGCCGTCCCACACAGTGTCTCCTCCGCGACCTAGAAGCCAACGTGCAAGAATTTTCAAAGAGATGAGTCCTTCTTCGGGTTGATTGAGATAGCCAAAAAGCTCAACATAGATATTGAGATCTGACCAGGTGAAATCAGAGGCCTCAGGGTCGAGTGATAAGTAGTGACCAATGCTGTCCGCATAAAAGTCTGCTGCTTTTTGTACGTCATTGAGATCAATGTACGTCTCTGCAAGATGGCGCAGTGCTCTGGCACTGTGTGGGCAGTCCTTGAGTAATCTTTCATACTCAGCTGCGGCTCGGCCATTGTGACCTAGCTCACGATAGATCGCTGCTCTCTGGAACCGAATGTTGGTGTTGCCGGGGCTGACCTCGAGGATGCGGCTGTAACAATAAGCAACATCATGCAATGCGGACTGCCGATTCTCTCCGGCGCGATCCAAAATGAGTCGAGCAACTTTGACCCAGACACCGGGATCTTTCGGCCTCGTATGAGCTCCATTGAAAAGAGCTGCCAGGGCTTTATCATTTTCTCCTTGTGCGAGGAAGATTTCCGAGAGCAAAGAATGGGCAGCAAACATCTCAGGATTGATCTGAATCGCCTGCATCACAAGATCAATGGCCAGTTCGTAGTCTCCATCAATGAAGGCAGAGGTAGCCCCCGAATGAAGATGTTTGAATTCCAGACTGGGCTCCAACGGTTTGCGGGGTCCTCTTTTGATACCCTTTCCACCGCGAGCGCCATATCTTCCAGAAAAGCGTCCACCTCCACGACGGCGGCGCCTGCTGGCGGCTGAATGATCATCGTCATCATCCTCCGCTGGTTCGTCTTCCTCAGACTCACTAGAATTGTGTTAACTAAAGTTAGACATGCGATGTTTCGGCATACATACCTCTCGCTTTCGTCTCCGGATAAGGCAAAGTCCTCGTCCGACGCGTCACCATCGCCAGGCACGGGAGGATACGATACTGGAGGATATCCCTGGTTGTCGTATTCATCCGGGTAGAGGTCATCAACCTCTTGCTCTTCTTCCACTTCGCCTTGACCTTCGTTAGGATCTTGATATTGATTGATGCTTTGGGGTTGAGTTTGTTGGATCTGGTCCGCAAACAAACGTGGATCAATCACCGAGGCAAGCATGTTCCCAATGTCAAAAGATTGATCATTTTGCCATGGATAGTGAACAGTTTCATCGATATCTGGATATGCCGCCTCTCCCTCCTGCATTTCCTCATCCAGAGGAATCCCGTCCGGGTAATGCTGGGAACTCATGGCCACTGATTCAAAGTTCAAAAGAAAATATTTTTCACTGTTGATGAAAGCAATAGCTTGAGACAATCATCAGAAATGTGGATCAACCGAGGGAGTTCATTATCAATCCAGTATAGTTGGGAGTGCACTCTAAAAACGTTTCAGGTCTGGGCTCGGCAGATATTCATAGTAACTGTCTCCACCAGGCTGAAGAAATATTCAAAATTTGACCAAGAGCTGAACAGGAAAGAAAAAAAGAAGCCAGATCAAAAAGCAGAGATATGGAGAAGTCAAGAAAGAATGTTGTGAGGTCTCTCGGTGAACCCGTGATCTCGCGGCCTGAAACAGAAAAGCCTCTTCCACTAAACTTCAATCCCCAACTTTTCCTCTCCTCTCCCTCTCTCTCTCTCTCTCCACCTAACCTCTTCTCTCTTCCCCCTTTCTTTCCTTTCCTCTTTCTTTGGGACTACGTGGCTTGACTGTGTTTGACACACTATTGCTTCAAGTCTCAATTTCCTTTCGTTCCAGGCCTTAATTTTTCTATCTCAAATTTCCGAGGTGCAGCCCACTGGACTGGTCTGTGCCATCCTAAACGAGATCTGGATCTTTTCAGCGTCGTCTGATACCTTAAGGATCTTGGCCTGGATCCTGGTTCCAAGGATTTTTTGATTCTATCTTTCACGCAAACTCAGCAGGTGCTGCAGGTGTTTTGCAGTAATCATTTCCCCCCCCACTGTATTTACTAGTCATACTCTCAACACGTCGCCGAAACCATGGCCAGTCATATCATTGGCAATCGCAACAGCACCCCTGAAGCCTCGAATTCATCTCTCCGCCCTCCATCCTCATCGCGAAACCTCGGATCGCACCAGCTGCGGGCGTCGGCAGACATGTCCGGGTTTCCTTCGCCGCTGTCCGCCCGAAGCATTCGTCCATCATCGGAGGTCTTTTTCAATCAACAAACCCAAGGCCAGAATGCGACGGAAGATGCTTTGGACCGTGCCGCTCAACAATGGCTTGCGGATATTGATCAGTACGAAACTACATTGGAAGAAATGGCAGCTGCCACACTTGATCAGGACTTTAAGGATGAACTCAGTGCCATCGAGCAATGGTTTCGTGTTCTGAGCGAAGCTGAGAGAACTGCAGCCCTATATGCTCTACTGCAGCAGACTACTCAGGTGCAGATCCGGTTTTTCATCCAAGTCCTGCAGCAAATGTCTCAGGGTCACCCGATGTCCGGCCTGCTCTCCCCTGCCAATTTTGGCGAAAAGGGTATGAACAGACTGTCCACATCTATTTTGGGATGTAACTAACCTACTTTTCGTCGTGTAGATGCTATGTCCAGCCGTCTAAGCGATGCCATGTCGAAGCTTAATATGGACACCTCCTCCCGGAACTCCCTCGGGCGACCCCCGCCGTCCCCTGGCGCGAAGCGCAACTCTGTCCTCGACCCTTCTACCATCAATGCGATGTTCCCGGATGCTGCTGCGGCCATTGCGAAGAAGAAGGCCGAATTCACCCAGCAAACTGGAAACGCACCTCCGTCGAACCGCAATAGCGCAGTCTTCGACCGTGCCTCTTTCGTCGCCCCCACCATCTCGGCACCTGACAACAATTCGGACGGTTTGGGTCAACAGCCTGGCTCTCCGTGGGCTCAGCGTGGTGTTTCCGACACGCAGCCTCCGATCGCTCGGCCCAAGTCATCCTCCGGACACCAGCCTATGGGCCAGTTCAGCCAGCCCTCTGGCATGCGCTCGCCTCACCCCCAGACTGCCAATATCCCCGCCCCCGACATCGAGCCCCCTCTGCTTTCGCCATACAACGTCGGCAACCACAGCTGGGCGTCTATGACCAACACCCCGATGACTGCGACTTTCGGTCAGCAATCGCACCAGAACCCCAACACCCATGCGGATATGGTGGCCAACGCCACGGCAATGAAGCTGGCAGCTTTGTCGACAGTGAACAACCGGATCGCTCTGGATGACGCGCGCAAGTACCGCCGTGCTCGCTCTAATGATGGCCAGGGTAAGAACTCGCATGGAAACCCGATGCTCTCCCAGGGCTTGGCTAGCCCAGGCCTGGGTGGACAGCACTTGGTGGCCGGTCAGCTTCTCAATACCCAGCAGCTGGCAGCTTTGCAGGCTCAGCAACAGGCGGCTATGGCTGGTAGACGGTCTCGCCCAACATCGCCCGGTATTGCTATGCACGGTGGTGGCTTGACCCCTATGGGCTTCACCTCACCGCAGAACAATGGATTCTTGGCCGCATACGATCCCAACAACCCTCTCATGGGCAATGGATTGGGTTCATTGAACATTGGACAGTTTGGTCTGGGTAGTGAAGGCTACCTCTCAGACCACTCAGAGGTTACACGAGGCCGCTCTCCGCGGGGTCGCCGTGGCAGCTCGAAGCCGCCCGAGGATCCCACAGACCCGGCTCTTCTGAAGGATATCCCCAGCTGGCTGCGATCCCTCAGGCTGCACAAGTATACCGACAACCTGAAGGATCTCCAGTGGACGGATCTGGTTGACCTGGATGACAAGGCCCTGGAAGACCGCGGTGTCAACGCTTTGGGTGCACGCAACAAAATGCTAAAGGTAAGATTTGATTCATATTTAATTTCAATCATCTACTAACATTTCTATCAGGTCTTTGAGCAGGTCAAGGAGGCCCGTGTCGATGGCAAATTCGAAAATCTGGTTTAATGTGATACTTGAATTTAAAGCCAGCGACATCATGGGACTGGCATTTTCTTTCTGCTATGTTTGCAGCATAATCAAGGACATGGGGATTTGAAATGTATCAAACGCTGTGATGTGAACGGATTCATGAGAAAGGCTCGGGATTATTGAACATTGGATTCGGGTTAATAGTAGATATGAACATGATTGATTTGATTTACGTTAAATGCCCTCCTTAATAGTGTTGTGCTCTTGAAGTAGTGTAATATCAGTCTGAAGCATTATAATATCATTTTGGGCGAAATATAAGGTGGCCCGTGCACTTCTAGAAACTCGCTGCCACTTCCGACCTCCATCTGTTCAAGCCGAAAGCTGCTGTGAGACCACCCCTCCACGAGAATATCTCCCGGTGTAACAATTCCATCGCCATTGAAGAGCAACAGCCCTGCAATCCTTGTCAATCTCAGCAAACCTCCGCCCGAGACGTGATCACTACCAACGAACACCGAGAGCCATAGCTCGACCTCTCAAACCAAATCCCAAATACAACAAATCAGAGTCAACATGGCGCCAACAAAGCAGGAACTCTCCCTGCTAATCACCCCTCTCGTACCCGAGGCCGTCCAGCACAACAACCGCGTATGACCTCCCACATCCCACATGCCACCCAACCACCCCTATCCCGCACCACCTGCACATCCCTACACCAATACCAACTCCGCATCCACATCTCCATTCTAAAACTCCCAAAACTAACAAAGAAACTAGGTCCTCTCCTCCCTCCACAGCTTAACCTCCTTCCTCCTCGGCCTCTCCGCCGGAATCCTAGCCCTCCAATCAACCTACGGCTTCGCCTTCTACTTCCTCGGCACGATCCTGGTATCAGGGCTCTTCCACGCGGTTCTGATCCACCGCTCCGGCGGTGCAGGCGCTGGATCTTTCTTCCCTGGTAGTAACACCGGCGAGGTCGAGGGTGTTATGGAGATGGATAAGAAGAGCAAGGCTGTGCGCATGCAGCTTGGTGGGAAGGATGGTCCTAAGAAGATTCTTCGCAAGGGCGCTTGGAGGGATGTTTGGTTTGGTGGTGGTGTTATGAGTGAGGCGCTTAGTGGGTTTGTGCTTGGATGGGCTGGTGTTGGGGGTGTTTTGAGGTGAAGAGGGTTTCGGCTGGTGGGATCTTGAATTCTGCTTTAAAAGCTGGGGGTGGGGTTGTTGGGTGTGTTTAGGGGGTTGTATATGCTCTGTATGAATTGAATTGTTGCATGCTTTTCATTTCTGAGATTGTATTTCCTATCTTGCTGTATCTTAAAGAAGGTCTGCAGGCTGGAACTTCACTTGGAGTATATTACGTTGTCATTGCCCGATGGGCAGATATCAAGAGTATGGCCCAAGACCTTCAGGATATATACAGATTGTCTTGAAAGGCTCAAGGCCCCAAAACAGCTATCCAAACTACACTCTCACGCCTACTAATCTATTCCTCCTCCGCAACCTCATCAACAACCTTCTCAAACTCCTCCAAAACCTCCTTAGAAACAGCATATGTATACTCAACCGAAGGAAAAGCCCTACTCTTAACCTCCTCCCTAAAAGCCTCAACCCCCCTCCTCGCCTCCCCCCAAACATCCGCATAAGTCTTAACAAACTTCGGCAAAAACCTCCCCTCAGGGAAATTCCCCAACATATCAACCTGCACAAGCACCTGTCCAGAACACCCATTCCCAGACCCAATGCCAATAGTCGGCACGCTCAGCCGCCGCGTAATAATCTCCGCAATCTCAGGCGGTACAGCCTCAATAAGAACCATACAAGCACCAGCCTTCTGAACAGCAAGCGCATCCCGCAGAAGCTTCACAGCGCCCGCTGCAGACTTGCCCTGCACGCGGAATCCGCCGAGAGAATGTTGTCGCTGCGGTGTTAATCCGATATGCGCCATGACTGGAATCCCGGCTTGAGAGATCTTGCGGATTGTAGAGGCCATCTCGGCTCCGCCTTCGAGTTTCACGCCCTTCATTCCGCCTTCTTTTACCATCCGGATTGCGGATGTTAGGGCTTTTTCTGGGGTGGTCTCATATGAGCCCATGGGTAGATCTGCGATCTATTGGGGTTGTGAGATGATGCGTGTTGGTGGGGGGTGGGGGTGTAGTATGTATTAGGATGGGATGTATGTAATGAATGGACTTACTGTAAAGGCACTTTTGACCGCGCGGTTTACACTGCGACAGTGGAGAAGCATCTCGTCCATTGTTACTTCGTTTGTGTCTTCCATGCCCATTGCGACCATTGCGAGGCTGTCGCCTACGAGCACGATTTCCATTCCGGCTGTGTCGGCGACATGGCCGCTAGGGAAATCGGACGCTGTGAGGACTGTAATGGGTTCGTTCTTTTTGTAGAGGTTTTGAATGGTTTGGATTGTTACTTTTTTGCGTGTGTTGGTGGTTGTTGAGCCCATTGGTGAGTGGGAGCTATATTGCGCGATGCATGATTTGATTGGTGATATTTGACGTGCAGGGATTGCTAGGCTTCTGAGGCGCATAGCTGGGCCTCTTAGGGAGTTGATTGTTTTCATGGTCATTTTGAATTGAATAGCTTATAATAGATCTCTGTAGGAAGGAAAAGAGAGCCGAATATAAACTGAAGAAAATAGTGACGTTCTGGTGGATGCGGCGTACTTCGCAGTACTTGGGTCCTTAACCTCGGCCATCTCTATATGCCTCGCTTGTTGGCACCTCTTTTCTCTATTTATTTATTTTGTTATTAATTCTATTGACGTATTTAAATTCTATTATTCTACAGTGCGGCACATGCTAATATTATACAATATTGGTTTTGGCCTAGAGCTTCTTGAGCAGTTGCTTGTCAGTCTTCAGCCGAATAGAAAGCCCAATGATAGAAGCAACAAGAGCCATAACACCAGCATAGACAATAGCTGGACGGTAACCGGTAATCCCCTTACTCTCCCCGCCAGCAGCATCGAGGATAAACCCAGCAATGGGGGCACCCTATAAAAATAGTCAGTACCTCAAGCTCGGATATAAAACCACAGAAGAAACCACAACCAGTCAACTTACAAGCAAATAACCCCCAGCCCAGCCCGTGACAACCATCCCCATAACAACAGACACCCTGGCTGAGCCAAAAGTATTTCCAACAACAGTAGGCATAGTCGAAAAGAAGCCCCCATTCGCCATACCATTGACGATAACAAAGACGACCAACGGCCCCAGTGAAGTCGAGATAGGCCAGATAATCAGCATGCTCAGCGCGCTCAGTAGAAGAGAAATGAATAGCGTATTCAGCGGTCCGACGAGATCGCTGCAGAGCCCGCAAAGTAATCTCCCCAGCGCAGAGGAGAAATTGAATGCGGCGACGATACCCGCTCCCGTGCCGGATGACATTCCCAGCGAAGCTGTGAAGAGAGGTAGGAAGAAGGGTGGGACTAGGAGGGGGAATGTGGCGATTGCGCCCATTGCGAAGAGGAGGACGAAGCGGATGTCGCGGAATAGACGCCTGTAGAGAATGTTAGTCTGTGATTAACAATGATAGCATATCAAAAAGAAATGCAATGCAGTGATGCAGTAGTACGTACCAATCCACAACAGCCGAAGGCGGAATTGGAACCCGCTGCTTGATCAAATACGCAGCCGGCAAGCCCGTAGCCCAAGTAGCAAAACCGATAATCCGGAACGTCCACTGCACGCCCACGCGCTCGAGCAGCGCATTCATCACGAAGCTAATCACAGCACCGCCAAGTCCGCCCGCCGCATAGACGATGCCATTCGCGATTCCGCGCTTCTTTCGGAAATACTGCGCTGGTGTGACGGAGACGACCATGAAGCAGAGACTAGTGCTAGTCAGTAACAGTAATCGTGCAATACGGTATAGTATAGTCTTCAGCCATGTGCCTCTGGTAGATATCCAACATCCACATATACCATACACAGAAACAAGTATCAGAAAGATCCAAAGCTCACCTAATACCAATCCCCATAACAATCCCAGCCGTAGCAAACAGTCCCCCAATATTCATAGCAGAGAACCCACTCAGCACTTCTCCAAGCCCCAAAAAGAACACGCCAGTCATGGCCGACATCCGCGTCCCGAGTTTACGGATGACACGCGCATTCAGAATCCCCAAGAAGGAGATACATGCCGTTGCAAGCGAACCGACGAACGCCAGCGTTGAAGATGACGATACGCCTTCTTTTACAAGCGCGGCTTGGAGAATGCCCCAGCAGTAAGATGTTCCGATGAACCACCATGTTACGACCGCGCAACCTGATATGACGACCCAGGCTTCACCGCCGTCGGGGACTTGGGAGTCTGCTATTAGGGATTGTTGCATTATGTCTGTTTCGGAGGGGGGTGTTGATAGGTCATTTTGGGTTGTTCGGATGGGTCTTTCTTCTAGGTTTGTGTTTAGGTCTTGGAGGGAGATGCCTGTGGTTGTTGATTGGGGGTTAGACATGGTGTCTCTATCTCCTTGTGTAGGAAGAAGAAGAGATGAGATATTAGTCTTAAGGATTGATATGGATCCACCTGATTCTTTAAACTTCGGAAAAATTATATAGATGTTCGCGGAAGGCGCTAGGTTGGAATAGGAAATTATATTGACTCATAATTTTACCATTTTGGGTAAGCTTGGAAGCTTATACATCCAATGTTAATTGCATATGAAATCTATAAACTCTCAAAATTTTAAGCTTAGCCCTTGGAATATCTAGATAAAAGAGGTAGAGAGCGTGGAAAAAGAACTGTGCCTTCAGCATATGGGGTGCGGTTAGACTCGGAAGAAGTGGAGATAGTTAAGGACAGCCGGGACCGGCGTGGAGGATTATCAATCAGATATCTACACCTCCGACCTCGGGAGGTTGACGTTTAAGGTTTTAAGGTTTTAAAAAGGAGGCCATGTTTAAACAATAAGGTAGAATTAATTCACCAAGTCTATCAAAGATAGATTAAAAGAGGTATGGGTCTTCTTAGGAAGAACAATCAAAGTCCATTAACAATCCTTTTCTTCCCAGCAAAAGGGCCAACAAGACCCAGACCAAATAAATCAACCCACGCAAACCAAGGGGATAGTGCCAAAAAGAAAATACCACAAGATGTCCATGGTCAATGCCATGGAATACATCCAATATAGACATAGACAGTGCAAAGTGACAAAAGTAGGGGTGAAAATGTGAAAATAAAAACATGCCAAGGGCAAACATGATATTAACAAATCATAATCGGGGTATATCAGATCAGACTCCAAGCCAGGGAGGAACAACTGATCCATGCAGCGAGATAGCAAGCAGGAGAATGCAGTGCAAATCAAAGAAACGCAAAAGAAAACAAAATAATCAAGCAATGTGCGGGATGGGGACCTCTTCCGAGGAATTGGCAACGGCACTTTGAAGGGCGCTGGTCAAGTCGATATGGAAGAAAGGCCGGTTCATGCCCTGCACGAGCGCAACTTTAGGACGGCTCCGGTACGCCTTGCTGTCCGTGATATCGCGCTGGAACTTGTCCTCGCGGATGACGTCCGAGTTCTCGGAGGCGGTCTCGATACCCTCGGTCTCGCGCGCGGTGGTATTGGATTCGGACTTGAGGCCTGATTCGATATCTGTGCTCTTCCGGTGGGATTGCTCACGCTGGTTGGCGATGATTTCGGCGTGCGCAGCGGCTGAGGCGCTGCCTTCGATCTCGGCCACGCTGAAAATGGGTTTCCACCGGTGGAAGCCGTCGCTCGCGATGGGTGTTGGGTAACCGAAGCCTGCGGCAGCCAGGCCGCGCTTTGTCCAGCGGTTGTTGATGTGTGCGAAGTGCCATTGCACGGTGCGAGGGGAGGCGTACATATCCAGCTGGTTGCGTACGTCGATCAGATTCTGGATTGAGGTAACGTCGACATTATTCACTGAAGAGAAGTCCAGAATGACGGCTTGGAGAAGGGGCAAGTGTGAATCCTGGTCGCCGCCCTTCTTGCCGCGGCGGGCACCAGCATCATTCCAGGGACGGTCACCGGGTCTGTTGTAGGCATTCGGGTTCGTTCGGCGGGTCTGCTTGAAGATGGCTTCAACCAGGGCATCGGTATAGTGGTTGGCGTTGGGATAGTTGAAGCCTTCGGAAAAGCGGTAGATGAAGATACCCGGAAGAGGCTGCTCCACTTCGATATCGGGGTTGGAGCCATCGGTGTGGTTGATGGGAAGGAAGATAGTTCGGTGGTGGCGTTCCTCGTCATCGGAGGGAGTCTTGTTAGTTCCGAACGATCCGTACTTTCCATCGCCATCCAACAAGTGGTCTCCGACAACGGAATGGATAGTGACACGGCCCAAGAACTGACCGCGGGCCTTGGCCACACGGAAAAGCAGGACAGCAACCGAGACACAGACTGTGCAGTAGATACCGTTTTCAATGGAAGTAAAAACAGTGACAAAGACACCAATGAAGAAAATAATGGCATCAAGCGGAGATACGCGCCAGAACTGATAAACGGTGTTGGGGGGAGTGATCAGATCGCCGACAGCGTGGATAATGATACCCGCCAAAGAAGCCTTGGGGATGTAGAAGAAGACAGCGGGTAGAGCATAGATAGCCAAGAGCACCACGACCGCGGTAATGACACCAGCAAGAGGGGTGCGCACTCCAGCTTTGGACTTGATGGCTGTCCGGGAGAAAGATCCAGTGGCGGGGTAGCCACCGAGGAAAGGTCCGAGAAGGTTACTCACGCCAATGGCCACAAATTCTTGAGAAGGATCGATAGTGTAGTTGTTGACACGGCCGAAGGACTTGGAAATGGCAATGTGCTCAATCAGCAGAACGATGACCGCAGCTGGAAGCTGGCCAATGAAGGCTGAGATGATCTTAGGATCCATAGTGGGCACGGCGGCCTGTTGGAATCCTCGAGGGACTTTCCCGAGGATATTGAACGCCGGATGATCCCTTCGGTGCAAGTTCACGGCGGCACTAATCATAGTGTAGAACAAGATCACAAACACGGTGCGAAGAGTCGAAATAAAGAACCAAATCTTGGCCTTGGCAGGCTGCCTCTTCGCGGCGAAAGTGCATCCCGAACGGATAATGTACAGCATTGCACAGGCCGTGACACCCATAGCAGCATCCAAGGTCGAAGTGGGGAGGTACTTGAGAGTGTTGATAATGATCTCGTAGGTGGGACCGCGGGTGCTAAACTTGGCCGTCTCGCCCAACATGGTGGGAACCTGTCCTGAGCAAATGCTCAGAGCAGAACCGGTCATGAAGGCTGAAATAGCAGGGAGAGGAATGAAATCGACAATGAATCCGATACGCAGCAGACCCATCACTAGAACGATACCACCGCAAATGACAGCAAGAGCAGATGCAATCAAATGAGCAGGGTAATCTGGATACTGATCCTGGACATCGGCCACGATGGTTCCGGTCAAAGTTGACATGACAGCCACGGGCTATGAGATAAGGTCAGTAAGGTTTTTGTTTCGACCGGTCGCGGTATCACTCACTCCAATGGTAATATCCTTTGACGTAGCAAAGAACCAATAGATCAAAACTCCCATGAACGAGGAGTACAGACCATACTGTACCTCCAGTCCAGCCAGGGCAGCGTAGGCCATACCTTGTGGCACCACGACCGCTCCAACGGTAATACCGGCAACCAGATCACCGAAGAGCCATTGTAGGTTGTAGTTGCCAATCCATGTGATGAAAGGGAACAGATTGAGTAAGTATCTGGTGAATTGGGCTCCATTCGGGGTGATCTCGCGAATCCAGTCGACGCTTGTCGGCTCGGGTTCGGTGTATGAGTATGTGTCGACGGTGCCCATGGAGAATGTTGATTCTCCTCTTGTGACGGGTTCACCGGTAGCACCCAGAGGATCTCTGTATGCAACCTTGATACCAAGGCCCTTGGCCAGGGTATGGCCCAGTTCGGACCTGGTCTTGGGCAATTGACCAAACATGTTTGCCCTGATGTACCGGAGTTGACGGTATCAAAAGCCGGGAGACGAAGCTTCACCAGAATGTTTGGATGTAAAAGATAGAGACCCCAGAAATGTGCCGACGATCAGGAATATAAAAAGAATGTCAAATCCGATCACGCACTTTGCATGGCGCGGCAAAAAAAAATTGGCCAAGAATGTTGGTGCGTGATTCAATCCCGAATGGCGCAATATCTCCCCAGATTCAAATTAAGATTTGAATTTTTCAGCCTAGCTCACTTGGGTTAAATCTAGGCAGGGGTGTGATACGAGGACTTTGTAGAAAAGTGCTCGATATAAAAGTAGAAAAACAAAACACAAAACTGGCTCTTCAAAGCGAGTCCACGTTGTTAAAAAGCAAGGAGGGATTTCACGCGGCCGGGTCCACCGACGATCTCGAGCCGATCACTGAAGAGCACAAATCCGCAGGTTCCACTCGGTCTGGAAGAATGACGATGGGTCGTGGAGTATATCCGCTTGTTACATGGAGCCCATGGTCGAGATGAGAGGGATACTTGGGTTTTATGTGCTGGTTGTTTCAGGCACTATCACACATCTAACTGTTCAAATATCCCTTGTCCCCATGACATTCAGCTCACCTGATAGCCACATATGTAGCCATATGAACGTATAGCTTCCTCAAATGTCAACGTCCTCGATGGACACTGCCCGCAAGTGGATAAGCCGACGTACTGCCAAGATGTGTGGATGACGAATGACAACGCGCCTCGAGGAGATTTGCCTCAAGAAGATCAACAAGTGGGACCACGAGACCAATCACGGACCTTGGAGAACACGCAATCTGGAGGCGAGATGGTGAAAGGGAAAAAATAGGTTCCACGTTTGATTTATGTTCCTGGTGGATTTTGGCGATGTTTCAAGAATATTCTTGTCTATTAACTTTCCGCCTTGGTTACATAATTATAAGCTTGAATCCTTTCCTTGGAATACACCTTGGAAACATATGCCTTTCCACTGCGGGTTCTAAAATTATATTGATCATCTGCTTTCCATTAGGTTATTTAACTTACATTGATTAACTCTTTTACTCCATAAAAAGGCTCGCTTGCCGTCCGTGTGGGCTTGGCGCTACTCTATCTGTTAGGTGCATATGTAGGGGACATTCTCACGGAGTTACCGAGTACTCCGAGGACTCCGTGGACCGTTGCCTTTTTACAAACTACGCTCTAGTTGGCCTTTGCAGAACCTTGGCAAAGCCCAATATCTCAATCCAGTAGGGGGGAAAAAAAAGGTTGTTGCTCGCTCCAACGGCTAAGGTTTGAGGAATATCTTAATCTGATATTCGCTTAAGATATCCGCTTAGATATCTTTAAATATGCATGTATTGTTTTCCCCTGCATTTATTTCCACTTTATAAAGACGCAATCAAGATCTAAATCACGTCATCGAGCTTTATCGTTAGCCCGCGTCTAGCGGGATATCCTAAAGTACTAAGGTGCTACCCTTCGTACTCCCAGAGCTGCGCCCTTAACTTAAAATATGGTACCACGAGGTTATCTCCCTCTTGGCCTTTTTGTGCAGACGTATCAGATATCTTGCTTTACCACTTCCCTTTCGGTCGTTTGGTAGCCCTAATGCATTCCTCGGCACTTTACACTCGCGGAAGACATTCCTGCCGCTATTCAGGTTACTTTGGTACATATCCAAAACCTGTGGATTCTCTTGGCTATCATACTCGATATTGTAGCGGCACACAAGAGAGAAAACAGCCGACAGGGAGAAGCAGAAGAAGCAAAAAAGAAATGTGGCGCTGTTCAGCTCAAGCAGCTGACTCCAAGCTAAGGCCCGGATCTGCAGCTGGTTACGGTTGCATACCCGTACTCATGGGAACAAGGATCCCCAATATACGGAGGTACATGGTGCATGGTACATGGTACTTACATGATGCTTCTCCTCGGAGACAATATTCAATTTCAGCCTCGTCTTGCCTAGACGGGATGGCGTATGGCTTATTTTGTACGAGAGTCTTGTCATCTGTACTCCGTTCGTACCGACTAGTGAGTTGGTTAGATTAGTGGGGGTTTTTTCTTTCTTTTTGCTTTTCTTTCTCGCTATTCTCGCTACACCCTTGCCGCTAATATAACATAGTGTCGTTATCCTTGCTCGGGATTCCGTATTCTTGATCCCCGAGTCCCCTTCTCGCCATTCCTACTATATCTTGATATAGGATTTTGGTCATGATCTGGAGATCTTAACCCCGATCACGCCATGAACCACCTTCCATACCTGTCCGTGCGACTGATGTCGTGATGCTTTCTCGGTACTGGTCCTTGCATTGCATATGCAGGGTGCCCGCAAAGTCACTTCTGCGGGTAACCCGCTTAATCTTATGGTAAATACATATGAAGTCTAGACCTGTCGTTCACTTTAACGAAGAGCTAGCGTAATAAGGAGGCATTCAAATTCCCAAAGAAAAAAAAAAAAGGGACCATCCCTGGCCTCTACCGGCAAAGATCGTACCTAAGAGGCATCTTACTGGTTACACCAAACTGACAAGTCTCGTTTAACTAATTCCGATATCGGTAAGTTTAAGCCTCTTGGGAATACTGTGCAGATGTCCTCAAAGCTTAAGGTCATACTTGGTGGTAGATGAGGAACACTGATTTTGCGCAATCAGAATAATCCCTGCAGTATGATGTGATCGGGCTCTTCTACTTATTAACTTGAAGTCGGCAGAGCTGGACCTATAATGCTGGCGCACATTGGTATTGCCACAATTGCGCTATTTATCTCGTCATCTCATCTGCCCGAGCTGGACTAGGGGCCATGAGAGATCTAGCGGAATTCCTCTCCATCCCCTAGCCATGACCTTTGTCCAGCTTTACACCTGGGTCCAACAATTTGCTCCACGGACTTATCCTCCTAATCTGGTTCAGACAGCCGAGCCGTCTAGGTTTATACCCCTGCAGTCTTCGGTCATATCGAAATCTATGTTGAGACAGAAATCATCCCACTCGATGCAACTTTAGGACAAGCCAAAGATCATGATAAACTGGTTCAATATCTCTTGCATACCCCTCGCTATTGACCAACACATTGTCTATCACCTTCCCGAAGAAAGCCAACTAGCTACAATATTGTGTGGCTTGCTGCCCTGCCACTCGACAACCCATACCCTTTCGGACAAGCACCTTGATATTCACATGACGATACAAGGTTTTGCAGGTCAATCTTTCATCAACCATTCCACCGAGCTCTCAGACATTGGCTTTGGTAGACTGACTGCCCGTCTCATCATTTCCCTGTAATCGGGATGATCTTCTCCGACGCAGTAAAGGTCAACCTCCAACATTTTCTCAGTCCACAAAAGTGCCATCTTTTGCTCCTTCAATTTCAAACAGCACTTAGCAGCTTCGTATTAACTAAATGAAAATGAAAGGATGACAATTATGTAATCAAAGGAGGTCACTCACGCGAATCTAAGCTCTATATTCAGCAGATCCTCGGCTCTTTGTATCGCTGCCATTCTCTGCACTATCTTTCGCCGCCTTCTGTAAGACTTTTCTGTGCCATAATCTAGGATTGCAGCGAGTTCTCGATCAAGGTTGGACACCTCTACCCGCTTTTTCTCTTTCTGTCTTGAACAGTATCCTCGCATGCCTGGCAGGTGCACTGGAATCCCCATTTGCTCGGCTCGCCCTAGCGCTGCCTCCGAGTACGATTGGTTCCCTCGATATACATGACTGTAAGCTGCTCGCCTGCCATGATGTCGCGTATGATATGGAACATCTCTTCTTTGAGTATCGGATTGTACGCGAAGTTAAGGTTTGGAATGCACGAATGATTGAGTCGATAGCCAAGGAAAAACACGAATCCACCAAAGGTGTTGGCTGCGTAGATGGCGAACACTTTGCGGTGCAGTTCCGGTAGTTCCTCCCAGCTCTTTCCTATCTCAAACTCGACAAAGTGCTTGGATAATTCGCCCGCATATCCATAAGGCTCCAAGAGGGATTCTTGCCGGGAAGGTGGAAGACGTTCGAAAGCTGGCATGATGCTGTTTAGGGTTACTGTTTCGATGTCGACTTCGAGCAAGGCGTTTTCTGAGATGACACGGGTCACGAGGTATATTGGCTTTTGCAAACATACCCAAACCTTTCTGTGCTGATTATTTGAATTCAATGAGATTGTCTGCATCTCAAAAAATTTCAGTATGTGAAGCTTTGAGCGGGGAAATTTAGCGTACACCAACGCCTGACCGGGGTGTGCCTTGTCAGTCTCATTGTTGTTCATAGAATGAACGAACATTGGGCAGTTCCGCTTGAATAATAAGAATGATGCTCTACTAGGTTCGAATAATCTTTGTGAACTGTAGTGCGTGAAGATGACAGTTCCATTGAAGGTTGTAAAGGGACGCCACTCTCTGCTTGCTGCGCAGCGTTGTGCAGGTCCATAATTGGTTCGCATTTTGGCGCAGTCATTGCTCAAATTTGCTTTGAGCTTGTTTGTGGTTGGATTTTGAACCGGATGATGTTTTGGCAAAAGAAACGTTAAGAGTCCTGTCACTTGGACTGCCGGAAAGAGTCAAGAGCACTTGCGTACTTGTGGGGCTGTAGACAAGTGTTTTCCTCGAATTCGTGGTCAAATACTCGCCCTCATACAGAGCGGATCCTATCTTATGCTGTGTTGGGGACTTCGATACTAAGATGAGGCTCAGCGGGAGATCCATATCCCACTACCTCCCTTTCCCTGATCGCCGTTTTGATCATTCAAATCTTTGCAACCCATGCCAAACCGATCATCATCTTCGCTATCGACATGCTTATCTTTATCGAAGAGATTGAGATGAAAGTACAACAGTGCACAGCCCTGCGACTATGGTCAAAATGCGCCCTCGGCTCTAGCACATGTCACCTTCGGAAGCTCCATAGGCAACACTATGTGATCATATCTCGAGAGGTTATAATGCATGAGTCCAACTCTCTCACAGCCACACCTGCGCACTCCTTAAATGGCTCAAATCAGCCTTGGGTACATAATCGTGCCAAGCGCCAACACACCTTCCTTGTGTTGGGCGCTTAGCACGTAGGCTGAGCCACATCATGCTGTATAATAGACTATCATCTTGCTATTCTTCCAACTTTTCTTTCGTCCCCCAAGATCTCAACCAATACAGAAAACAACTATTCTACTTTGAAATATGATCGATCTTTTCAATTCCCGCTGTCTTGGGTGTGATGGCCTTACCAAAAGACTGTACTGTGTGCCAGGGAATGCGAATGGCAATGCACGCCGTCCATACTATAAATGCTGTCACTGTGGAGCATTTGCTTGCTTTGGAGACACCCGAGGTGTTGTGGCCGAAAATCCCACTTGTTTCTGTGAACATGAACACGGCGGAAGATACTGGAGCAGAAGGGCAGTAGCAGGCTCGGATAAGAGATATCCCCGGTCGATCTTCTACCAGTGCGCTACGGGACATTGTGATTTCTTCGACAAAATGACGGACGATGATGACCGGATTGTATTTTACACTGGTTCTCTTTCCCCTCGCCATTTGGCATCTATTGGGCTCTAAGGGAATGGTTTCGGCACCAGGTACGTTCAGTTGAGGCACTCTATCCCAATGATGGCTTGGATTTGTCTAACTGTTTTATGTATTTCTAGTGCCATGGTGCAAATCGATGCCACCAACGCAGAAAACACAACTCTCCTTTTTCCCGACTACTCGGGGTTATATGGAATCTTATACGGATCATACTCGGACCTCTCATTTTAAGACTATACCGTTGGTGGAAGAGATCTAGGACAGGACTGGAGAGCTGCAATTGTTATGTCAGAAATTGAATCTAACGTTCCATATCCGTCACTGTGACATGAAAGACTGGCAACGAGGAAGAGCGGAGGTAGAAGAAGAGGACTATTGGGTTAATGAGGATCAACCGGAGATCGAGGATGAGGAAGAAATGTAATAGCTAGCATCCATTCGATGTCATTCTAGATACAAATGCGCCTCCGACAGGATAGGTATATAAATTCCAGTGCACTCTGGGAAATTCATCCCATGTAGCCCCATTCTTTCGATAGCTATCTGATGTTCACGTACTTGAATATTGAGGCTCTTGGGAGCATTGTTGCCTAGGTAATGAGCAACTTGTCGTGTCATACCACGCGCGTAGTATCTTCCGATTTTTGCCTGAATAGCCCACACCACCCAACTCTCTACGATGTGAGACTTTCATATTACCTATTCTACACTAATCAACACACCTACCACTAAAGTCCACAGAGAATAACCTTGGAAGTCAGTCCCACAACAGCAAAGAGGACCTTGAGGACTTCCAACGAAGCTATCTTGTCGCACTCCCATCTTCTCTTCACTCTTACAACTACTCTTACGACTACCAACAATAATGCGTCTCATATAAAAACCATCCATATAGATGAGCAAATGCATTGGAACGAAAACACACTATGTCTATTCAAAGGTCATCATCAGAGTGCAGGCTAACAAAAAAAAAAAAAACACGAATCCATCATGATCACGCCACGACCCCCTCCAAAAGCTTCGTCCTAAGACAAACCCAGCGTGGGCAACAGAAATCTTTTAGATCCGTTCGCAAGAGCAAAGCCCGCAATCGTGGTCTCATCTCATCCATCTTCGATTCATGACTTCTTTCCCATCGTCAGCGCAACTCCCACAAACCCCAGTTCCCATGGAAAACATAAAATGGGTGACAAACGTGAAAAAAAGCAAGGATCAAGGACCCGAAACTTGTATGCAAAAGAAGAAAAAAAAGTTGGACAGGAATTACAGAAGATTGAGAAATGGAACCCGAGAAGACAAAGAGAAAAATGAGAAAATGATATCTTCCAGGTCTTCGGAGGAAACGCCATTGCAAAGCATAAAGAAAACAAACAGGTTCCCCGCGTCAAATCGGGGTTAAAGAGAAGGGCCCCCTTCACATGGTATCATAAGCGAAGTCTTCATCACTGGCCTAGCATCAACCCCCATTTACGGCATGGAAATCGTCTCCAGAATCCTTTTACTGGGAAGCGCACTGCACACGCTCGGCACCGCCGGGCACATCCTCATCATCCTCATCCATGCCGGCCGCGGCTGCGCCGTGGGCGCGGGCCTGGTCGTGCTCGTTCTCGGGGTCCTCAAGCTCGAAGTCCTCGACCATGGCGTCGGCCGGGGGCGCGTTCTTATCAGAACGAGGAGGAAGGACCTTCTCAAGGAGTTCCAGGTTCTGGAGCTCCTCCTTCTTGGGGAACTTGACATCGAACTTGATGTACAGGTTGCCGTGATCGTGGTGGCGGAATGAGGGCATACCCTGGCCGTGAATGACCTTAATGGCATCTAGAAAGAAATGTTAGTAACAAGTTTCACGAATATTGTGCGGGAAAAAGGTAAGTCACATACCAGGAACGATAACCTCGCCAGGGGCGATGTTAACGGTCATCCACCGATCATCGAGGTGCTCAATGTGGATAGCACCGCCGGCAAGAGCGGTAAGCAGGTCGATCTCAGCCTGGTAGAACAGGTCGTCGCCCTTGCGCTGGAAGCGGGCGTGGGGCTTCTGCTCAATCTCGAACACGACATCACCGGGCATAACACCAGGCATTTGGTCACCCTCGCCGCGGAACTCAATCTTGTGGCCATCGCGCACACCTTTGTCGACGTGAACGTGAAGAACCTTGCGCTCAACGACAGTCTTCTTGCCGTTACACTTCTTGCAGCGATCCTTATCACGGACGATCTCGCCTTCACCGTTGCAGTCGGGGCAGACGGTCTGGAAGCGCTGGATCATGGGACCCATCTGGCGCATCATAGTCTTCATACCGCTACCGTTGCAGCCAGCGCACTCCTTGACAGCGCCCTCCTTTCCACCGCGGCCATCACAGCCACCGCAGATAACGGACTTCTGAAGTGCCAACTTGGAGACCTTGCCCTTATAGATATCCTCGAGGTTAACCTTGTGCACGTGGTGGATTGTGCGGGCCTTCTTGGGGCCTTGTTCACGCATGCCACCGCCGAACATTCCACCGAAGGGACCGCCGCCGCCGCCGCCGCCGCCGAAGAATTGAGAGAACAAATCCTCAGCGTTCATGCCGCCGCCACCACCACCATGCTCCAGGCCTTCCTCGCCGAGCTGATCATATAGCTGACGCTTCTCGGGATCGGAAAGAGTCTCGTAGGCGTGGGACAGTTCCTTGAACTTCTCTGCGGCATCGGGGTTGTTGGTGTTCTTGTCTTCATGTGACGAAGCGATGTCAGCTGAGTGATTCATACATATATTCAGAGTCTCTGGGGGTTGTACATACCAGGGTGGTACTTGAGAGCGCCCTTCTTGTAGGCAGTCTTAAGCTGAGCCTCGGTACAGGTGGGAGCGACCTAAATGAAAGAAACACCAAGTCAGATTCTGAACAGTCAAAGTGGTCTTACAACCAGCCAAGTATAGTTTTAACATACCCCGAGGGTGTCGTAGAACTTCGTTTCCTTAACCATTGTGAAGTATGCGGGGAATCAAGTGAAAGATTATTAGGTATTCTTGTGGAATCCAGAAATGAAGCGGGAGAATGGAGGGGGGAAAGCGCCGAAAAGTTTAGCACGGCTTTTTATATGAGAAATGCCAAATGGACAATTGTATTTAAAGTCCTGGCTTGGAGATGAGAAAGTGGAGGGGGGAGAGAAAGGGCGAGATGGGCTATCTGAACAATAATAATCGAAGCCAAAAAAAAAGGCTGAGTAACTTTTTTGTCAGGCACCTGTTTGAGACTCGTAAAATGACACAATAAATTACCACAACTAAGGAATTCCGATTTTACCACTAGTTTTCTTTGTCTCGCTTTGAAGCAATTTTTACTAAATTTTCATTTCAAAACCGTCAATTTGCCTCTAGAATACAGGCAATCCTTCATCTTCATCTCTTCTGGTGGCTTCTATGTATATCCTGAATGGCCCGAGCGCGATTCTACGGGATTCCGCCGCCTTCGATGGCCTTCGCAGACTTTCTCCGCGCTTCCATGTTATTTTTTTTTTTTACAGCTGACTAACGTATATTTCGCCCATTAGGCGCCTAAATGCATTGAATGTCTACAATGAGATCATTCTCTACAAAACACTTTAATCGTGATTTATTGGTTTAATAGGCAGATCATATATGTATTTTATACTGGATTTTGCATATTGTATCCTGCATACAATCCCTGTAACTGTACCAGTAAACCTCACGCAGAATTTTTGTAAACCCTCGCCACAGCCCTGGAGCCACACATCTCTTATCGATAAGGGGAGGGGAGGAAAGCTCTTCACGGTCCACTCGGTTCAATCGTCATAGAGGGGTTCGGAATTTTCCGATACCCTGGAGTACGGAGTAGATTTCCCGTTTTCTTATCTTCTCTTTACTTCGTAGCCCACAATCTCAATTATACTCTTCAAAATGGAACAAGATCCCGGATTCATTGCTGCTGTCGAAGAGGCCAAGAAGGGCCTCTCTGAGGGAGGTGTGCCAATTGGTGCTGCCTTGGTCTCCAAGGATGGAAAGATCCTTGGCCGTGGCCACAACATGCGTGTCCAGAAGGGAAGCGCTATCTTGCATGTAAGTATAGCCTGATATAATCCAATTGAGATCCATTGTCGATCTATATCTATATGAACCATTATAGAGTTTATGAATACTACTAACGCAACCCAAGGCCGAGATGTCCGCACTCGAAAACTCCGGCCGTCTGCCTGCCTCTGCCTACGAAGGTGCTACTATGTACACCACCCTCTCGCCCTGTGATATGTGTACCGGTGCTTGCATCCTCTACAAGGTGAAGCGGGTTGTCATTGGTGAGAACAAGAGCTTCATGGGTGGTGAGGAGCTTCTGCTCAACAAGGGCAAGGAGGTTGTGGTCTTGGATAATGCCGAGTGCAAGGAATTGATGGCCAACTTCATGAAGGAGAAGCCTGAGCTATGGTATGTGGTATTTGGTGCTTGGTCTACCGCAATGCGTAAAGCAGCTCTTGCTCTGCTCGCAGTTGCATCGAGGATTGTTGGCTGTTTCATCAAGACTAACTGTAGTGTCTGCTATACAGGAACGAGGATATCGCTGTCTAATTTCATAAGACCTGCATATACCATAGCCCTAAATACCCCGAGAATTGAAAATATTCACGCCCAAATGATCAATTTTTAGATCCAATGTAGTTTTCTGATCTGAGTCGGGGAAGAAGCCGACCGCTTTTAAGATTAAAAAAACACAATTATACGGTCAAGCGGTGGATTTCTTCAAAGAAGAACTTGAGGTTCTCGGGGTCGACGAATGGAGTGACACCTAGACAGACAATTAGTATAAATAATCAGACCCAAATTATAAGGTTTGACTAACCGTGACCCAAGTTGCAGATCCATCCCTGCTTGCCCTTCTTGAAACCCTCAACCATGGGCTCAACCGTGGCAGTGATAGCTGGGGGGCCACCGTAGAGCATGCCAGGATCAGCATTGCCCTGGATAGTCACACGACCGTTGGCAATGCGCATGGCCTCACCGGCATCGTGCAGCCAGTCCAAACCGACAACATTGTAGCCCGAATCACAAAGGTCATCCAGAGCGTACCAGGCGCCCTTGGCAAAGACAGTCATCGGAACGGGCTCCAGGCCCATCTCCTGCAGTCGCTTGGGGAGGTTCGCGGAGATGTGGCGCAGGTAAGGAAGCGAGAATGACTTGAACGAGACGGGAGACAGCTCGCCGGCCCAGGAGTCAAAGACCTGCACCAACTGCGCTCCGGCAGCGACCTGGAGGGCGAGATATTCCACACAGATCTCGGCAATCTTCTGCAGAAGAGCCTGTGCCTCGGTAGGGTACTTGTAGACCCATTTCTTGGACTGCACAAAGAGCTTGCTGCCACCGCCTTCGACCATGTAGCACAGCAGCGTCCATGGTGCACCACAGAAACCGATCAGGGGCACGCGACCCTTCAGCTTGAATCGTGTGAGGGTAATTGCCTTATAGACGTATTCCAGCTCTGCTTTCACATCCACCTTCTTCGCCATGACCTTCTCGTACTGCCCATCTGTCGGTGAGTCGAGGGGTTCGGGGAAATGAGGTCCCTTCTTGTCCAGCATCTCCACGACCATACCCATGGCCTGGGGAATGACTAGGATATCGGAGAAGATAATAGCGGCATCGATGAGGCCTTCATAACGCTCAATGGGCTGGAGAGTCAGGGTCGATGCGATTTCAGGTGAGCGGCAGCATTCGAAGAAGTCACGGCCCGCCTTCGCCTCGTGGTATTCGGGGAGGTATCGGCCAGCTGTTTAATTAAGAAAAAAACGTCAATCAATTTGCTCTTGACGTGGTGTACGAATAAACCGAACTCACCCTGTCGCATAACCCATATCGGGGGACGCTCCACCTTCTCACCTGCGATTGTCAGCTCCAATTAAAACAAAATACACATATTGGGCATACCCCGTGCAGCCCTCAGCAGCAAATCGTTCTTCAAAGGCTCAAATTGTTCCTGCATTTTGTTGATGGAATGTGCAAGTGGGATGGAGGGGGAAGTGGGATTATACGAAGGTCCGGTTACCGCGGCCCGCGATGATCGGAAAATTGGAGTGGCAAGTGAACGGCTCCAATATACCCGTGTACAGTCATAACTTGGGTTCCTTCCCGAGGTATCTTTTCACTATTTTATTTCTGATATTAGATATTAAGATAGTTTCTCCATTAAATTATAGCTTGAATTCGAGTGGTCGAATGAACAAGCATGGTTGTGTGTTTAGTCATTGGACATCACCGGCATATCACTGTCTCTTGTTAGACAGTTCGTTCTTCCAGTGGTTGATATATCCGCCCTTCAATATTCATCGGGACTTTCCCCCAGGGACTCCCACTGCAGGAAAATAACAATACGGTTGTTATGATACCCCTATGGTTGCCCTGTAGCTCAAAGGCCGCGTCACTAGAGCCCCCGGGAGCTTAAACATGCTCTAGTCTACTTCTAACCACCATAAGTCTAACTAAAAAAATATGTGACTAGGGTTCGATTGGTTCGGACCATTCGCGGGAGATCCTCAGCAGACCTAGGCTACCGTGATGAGTTAATAATGTCTCAGCCCCTTGAGGTCATCCTATCAGGACACACTCTGACTTGCTAGTCAACTCGGCGGAGCAATAGTAGATATAAAAGTAATTATATCCCTAAAGACAGATTCCAAAAATAGATTTCTTAAGAAGAATTCAGATCTTTTACAGCATATAACCTGTTGTGACCATACAGCTCCGGTCTTCCCTCATTAGTAATTGCTTTTCTTTGTTGCATACCCCATAAAGAATGTGCCCTAACCAATCTACTACAGATATACTGAAAGACGATGGTCAATCCCAGAAAGTTCCCATATGGCATTCTCGCATATGGGCTTTTCAATCCATGTCTTGCTAGTGACAATGCAACAACGGACATATTTGCAAGCTCAATCCTTGTGAGATATGACAGCGGAGCACTCGACACGGATAGCAACAACACTCTCGATCTCGATGACAAAACCAAGACTAATATCACCATCACTTCGTGCAGCTTGGTTTATAGCACGGAACTAAACGGGGAAACATTCAATGGTTACGTGTATGAGGCGAAAGTAACCGGTCTAAATTGTGATGATTCATTGAGGAAGGAGACGGTGCTTGTCGCGGTTGAGAAATGTGCCGACAGCTTGGCCAAAAATGATGCCCCTATGGGCTGTTGCCCGTTCAATCACGGGACCTGGAATGGGCGTCTACGACTGAGTGCTGAGCCAAGTCTGTATCCTGTACGTGAGGTTGATTGCTGAATTTATGGGGTTGTGCTCAATAAAGGTGTCATGGAAAATTTTCTCGGAATATATATTTTGATCAGCGTAATGCGAATTTTACAACTACGCTTTTCCCCCTTTTTAATTTGACAAATTGTTATGGAGACTGTTGCATTAAACATGTATATATTTGGGACTTTAATTAATCATTTGCTGTACAGTCATCAAAAGCACGCCTTTAGTCGTCGTACGGGTCATCTCTCTTCCGCAGGTTGCCCAAACTGTACATTGAATCATTAAGCTCCTTCTGCTGTTTCTGCTCCAATGGCGTAGGAATACTTGAGGTGCCTTCGGAGTTGATTTTGGAAACCATGGAGTCCTCTGCGGGTGCCCATTTTCCAGAACTGAGCCGGAAGGTTTCGAGAGGAGGCTGGGAAGATGACTTCCAGGCACTTGTCGAATTGGATTCCCGCAAAGTATCCATGGCAACAAGAATAGAGCCTCTTGAATCAATGCCAGCCAGTTCAAGAACGTTTCCTGACAGTTGGAGGGTATCTTGGTGAGTTAACGTGTTGTTGCTTTCGAGAGTGAAGTAAAGAAGTTGTGAAGATCTGCTCTCAATATTAGAAAAATCATACACATCATCAGTAGTTATCGGAACGTACCCTTCAAGTGCAACAAAGATGGCCTTCACAGGATCGGCATTGTCTGCAGTAGGCGCAAGGGAAACATCCCAAATGCCGCGCACTGTAGTCTCTCCTTCCGCCCCAGGAAGCTGAACTTTCTGTAAGATCTGGTTCTCGAGCCAGTTCCACACAAGCAGATAGTTGTCGCCACCACCCGAGATGAGAACCTTGGGTTCGAACGAAGGGACGCACAGACTGCTGACAAATGAAGTGTGGCCAAAGCAGAACTGCTCAATTACATGGGCTTGGGGAACACCTCGGGAGACACGGATGTGCTCATCACGATCCGCAGTCAGGATGTAATTCCGCTTGCCAACGGTTGAGTCCGCAGGCCGGGTAACGGAGATCAAGGCCGTCAACAACGAAACGTGACCGATAATGACTTGGTGCTCGAAGTTCAGCACAACTCGCTCTGCTTGGTTGGTCTTCGACAGACCAGCCTGTCGCATTTGTTGCTCCAATGATTCAAGGTTGCGTTTCGTGTGCACCGTGAGATTTGTGGCAGCTGGCTCATATGGTTTCGCTGGGGCCTGGACCTTCACGTACTCTCCGCTTGGAATCAGAGGGAAAGTGTACACATCTCCGAATTTGTCACCCGACAAGATGTTGTTCTCATCGGGAGTCAAAGTAAGCGAAGAGAGCTTCTTGGGCATTGTACTATAAATGATGAGTTTGGCGAGCTTGTAAATAGAAAAATAGTCACTCACCGAGCACTCAATTGCTGGAGTTTGCCTTCATCGTCCAAACTCAGAACTCGAACACATTTGTCCTCGGAGGTCATGATCACTACATATTTGCCGTGGGCAACAGTCACGAGGGGAATGTTGGTCCATGAATTGGAAGCTTCTTTGTTCGAATCCTTAGGTTTTGACTCAGATTTGGCATCTTTCTGTTCATCAGAGGTCGAAGACAGCTTTCTTCGCTTCTGTTGGGGACCTTGGCTTTCAGATGCATCTGCGGGAGCTGCGTCAGAGCTTTTATCCTCCACATTGGCGTCTACGGGCTGAGGCCACACATCCAAACGCTGACCACTGGACGCATCGTAAGAATAGAGATTGCGACCAGCAGTGGCAATAAGGATATCCGACTGGCCTGCTGATTGTCTGTTGACATATCGCAGACAGTGGAACGGGTGTTGGAGACCAGCCATAATGAAGCTTTGATTCACAAAATGAGAATAATCAGTGAGCTCTCAAATGGTCCAATGATGTATTAATTGCAGGCAAGAAGGCAAAAAATAACCATCAGAGCTCTAGAGATCCCTCTGATCGAATTCCCGCCATGGCTGTCCATCTTGGGCGGGTCTACTTTTTACATCACGTGATCCACTAGCGAGCGCACCACCAAAATTGATTTTCCCGAAATCGCCCAGCTCTTCTTTTCTTCTCCTTCATTAACCACAACAATTCCCTTAAACAACCTATCTTCACTAAACACAAGAAGAAATGGGGGGCAAGTCAGCAACCAAGGCCGCTTACTTTGAGAAGCTGCGTACTCTGTTAGTTTCCTCTCAATGCGTCCTGGCAATTGACTTGATTCAAAATTTCTAACAAGCTATGTTACAGTCTCAATGAGTACAGCACCATCTTCATCGTCGGAGTTGACAATGTCAGCTCCCAGCAGATGCACGAGATCCGTATCTCCCTCCGTGGAGAGGCCGTCGTCCTGATGGGTAAGAACACCATGGTTCGTCGTGCCCTTAAGGGTTTCGTCACTGAGAACCCCGAGTGGGAGCGTCTCCTCCCCCACGTCCGTGGCAACGTCGGTTTCATCTTCACCAACGGTGACCTCAAGGCCATCAAGGAGAAGATCCTTGCCAACCGTGTCGCTGCCCCCGCTCGTGCCGGTGCCTTCGCCCCCGATGATGTCTGGATTCCCGGTGGTAACACTGGTATGGAGCCCGGTAAGACCGCCTTCTTCCAGGCTCTCGGTGTCCCCACCAAGATTGCTCGTGGTACCATTGAGATTGTCTCCGACCTCAAGCTTGTTGAGGCTGGTTCCAAGGTCGGTGCCTCCGAGGCTACCCTCCTTAACCTGTTGAACATCTCTCCGTTCACCTACGGTATGGCCATCACCCAGGTCTACGAGAACGGTCAGTGCTTCGGCGCCGAGGTTCTCGACATCACCGACGAGCAGCTCCTGTCTGCCTTCTCCCAGGCTATTGCTACCGTCACCGCTGTCTCCTTGGCTGCCAACCTCCCCACCCTTCCTTCCGTCTTCCACTCCCTGGTCAACGGATACAAGAAGGTCCTCGCCGCTGCCATCGCCACCGACTACAGCTGGGCTGAGATTGATGATCTCAAGGACCGCATCGCCAACCCCGATGCGTACGCCTCTGCTGCTCCTGTCGCTGCCGCCGCCGCCACCTCCGGTGGTGACGCCCCTGCCGCCGCAGCTCCCGCTGAGGACGAGGAGGAGTCCGATGAGGACATGGGCTTCGGTCTCTTCGACTAAGCGCCTCCTCGACGGGATACGAATGCCATGTATTAGATTTACTTGAACCGGCGCTTGAAATAGCGACCGGGAATGAAACAACATGTCTTGGCAATGGATTTTCTTCGGAAACCTAGGACTCGTATAATGGTCGTAGCTACGCCCATTGTTCGTTTCCACAGAATTGGTGAGTTTTTTCAATTCTTTTCTCCCTTCCCCCCTTGCCCCCACACCTCGCATCACCCTGGCGGATGATTATAAATTTTTAACCCCGAGCATTATGCCCCCCTCCGGGGCGCGCTGAAGATTAAAATAATGCAACAACAACACTCTAATTTTTTAATGACGCCATGCCTTTACCCTCACACATGCTCTTGACTTGGACTTTGACTCCTTTTGCAAACAATTGCTAACTTGTGACAAGATTTACAGATGCTCTTCATACGACCTGCGATAGTAGTGCCAATATGTTGTCGCCGTAGACAATTGTGTAGTTGGTGGCTTGGGGAAATCCTGTTCGCTATCTCTATTTGTGCAGCTGCCGTAATAGATGGTTGCTCAATCAAAAACTCGTTCTCAAATTCTTCTTCGTAACATACATTGTGCTGAGTAGCTGGCTCGAGGTATTGGAGACACGAACATGCCGTGCGATCCAGGCTCTCATCAATCAACAATTTCTCTCATCTCCCAACACCGTGATCTCAGAACGCAATAATCTCAGCAACATTTCAATGATTTCCTTCCAGTCGTTTCTGATCGCTTGAAAGATCATGTTATCTGTAACTGATGCTCTTTCTTTCCCTCTTGTTCTTGTTATTATCTGCATTGCTGATTTGAGATGATTTCCTAGACAAACACCGAGTAACCTTCCACTCACCCGCTTCCTCCATACCGCTCATGTAATAAGCTCTAAGTCCAACCCCTTCTCACATCACCAAACCATATTGCCACCCAAAAACTTATCACTTCTGTTGCCAAAACTCTCTGCACGGCTACGACTACGAACACATGTGTTTTGATTTGCCATGGGCTTCCACTAGGAGCATAGCTAGGTTGGCGGAGGACTCGACACTTATGTTTACCACTTCGCGCCAACTATTATGGTGAAAACTGTTCGTCGCGACCGAACCCCTAAAGAAAAGACAGCGGAGCATCCTTTCCTCAAGGAGATCGCATTTTACAAACTGTTCTCCCCTCCCACCGGCGTAGCCGCTGGTCTAGATCGTGGGCCAGGCACTGAAAAAGGGCTGGCCCTGAGCCGCCCACCTTTTTCTTCTACCAACTCAACACTGCTTTTGCCAGCACATGTCTGTCTCTCATAAATATGGAAGTTATCCAGAATAATGAGGCATTCAGAAGGATTGATGGCAAAATGAAATTTTCCTATGTCCAGGTTTTTGTTCGGCAAGATGGCATATTATATTCCGGGAAATGGACGAATCGATTAAATTCGCCAAAAGCGCTAGACGATCTCCAGGAACTCAAGCAAATTCCAACCGAGGATAGGGGCCCAGAAGCGAAAACTGCATGGTCAGCGATCTATATGAAAACACCAAGTCTCCTCGCGTATACCGATGGGAATCTTGAAAAGCAAATCGCTCGCGAAATCGAAACATGCGAGTTTCTTCGCAAGAACTCCCATCCGAACCTCGCGACCTACTATGGCTATAAGGATACTCACGGTCGAGTCTCTGGGCTATGTTTCAGACAATATACGTCGACATTACTTGAAGCAGTCAATCCCCAACGCCTAGGCAAGGTCGCTTTCCTTTCAAGTCCGCGCGAATTAGTGAAAGCGAATATGAAAAGTGGCCTAGAAGGAATCTTGGCTGCCATCAAACATCTTCATTCTTTCGGACTTGTCCATAACGATATCAACCCTGCAAACATTATGCTTGATGATGATGGTACGTTTATTCTCATCGATTTCGATAGCTGTCGATATATCGGGGAGTCGTTGCGCAGCACCGAAACGAAAAGAACCCGCCACTGGCACGACCCTGCTGTTAATATCTCGCTCGAGAAAAATGACCTTGACGCTTTCAAAGATCTACAAATATGGTTGACTGGATCGGCGGATGAGAACTTTGTTTTTGAATGAATCGCTTGTTAGTAAAATGTCAACATCAAGTGGATCAGCGGGGGCGATCATTGTTAATGGAGCAAGGATGAGCAGCGAAACCAATTTGGTTGTTTCCACTCTTCGAGTAAACATCTACCCTCCCGTCTTCAGTAGCAGTCTGGCCCTCCCATGTAGCCCTACACAATAGTGATGCACCATAAACGCCAGCAAGTTACACGTCACGCTTATAAGCTGGTAGCTTTGCTAGATTATATGGTCGATAGTCCTTATCTTCAAGGTAAGCTATAGCTTATGCAAGGCCTGATAAGTCGTTATAGGAGATCGGGAGATAAGCTCCATATTGGTGAAAGTAGGTGGTTAGATAGCCGGTTGGCTTACTAGATACATTGGTAAATCGTGGCGTGGGGAGTATCAAATCATGTATGATTCCAAGAAAGTCAATCAAGGCAAGCTCTGCAGGGAGGCTTAATGATATAATATTCACCCACATTTTTCGGGTTTTGCGATACCACATCCTAGAATTCTTGGTCAATTTCTGTCTTTCTTATCAATTGAACCGTGAATATGATACTTAGAGGATTCAAAAGAATCCCCAGCGCCATCCCGTCGATCCAACAGCTTTGAAGCAAGCTCCAAAAGAAAAGGCTGGGGGATGAGTGCTGACTCTCCCCAGTTATGAAGCCATTCACCGTTCCCATTATGTAAATACATATCCACAATCAGTTTGCGGATCAGAGCTGACTCGCACGTGTTGCCATAAGCATACTCTATTGCTTCCCCAACAGGGAACCATGCTGACCCATCCTGAGATTGTGAGACGCTTTTTTCGATGATAGCATCTATGGTTGCATCTTGGAACGTAGGGTCAAGGAATTTGTCCCCTAACACATATGCCTTGACTAGGTCAACGTATTCGGAATTTCCAGAGAGGCCTGGTTCATCGCAAAACACAGGAAGTGTGTCGTAATAGAGCCAGTGTATATATACCGCGATTACTTTTGGTTCGTCGTCTGGCAGTTGAATTATACGTTACGAAGACTCCTGCCATTCACCCGCGATGGCCTTCTCAAAAAATGAAGAAGAAGAAGAACAAATCAGCTCTTCATGGACGCTGAACGCTTTATGATCGTCTCCTGCAAGTATGTCTATTGTCCTCCCTAGAAGCCTTAAGATTAGCACAGAACAAGATACAATAAACCATTATTTACTTTTTGACCTCATCTTTAGACATTCGAATTGTTTTCGAAGACATAACAGCCAAACAGTATCGGGACTGAATCTAATCAGGTTGGCCAAATTACTATATGAAATGATTTTTGAAACTTCAGAATGGCTATGTCCTGGCTTCATAAATAGTTTGTCCCATAAAACGGTGCTCAACCTATAAAGTATTTATACCCAATACACGGGGTACCCAGAGTCATGTTATACAATGTCCCTAGAATTATATAACGACTAGAAGAGAGAATAGTGATCGCTGGAACTACCCAGCTAAAGACATTTGTACTTCATATGTACAAATCGAAAATAATGATTTATATATGTACATGCAGTATATAAACAATTATATAGTAGGCTCACCGTGTCAACTAATACTTACTAGACTATTAAAAGGTATTTACGATCTCTACTCTGCTAGAACTGAATAGTTTACGGTTAGGACACTCCTATACTTTATGGCATATGGCCACAAACCCTACAACGACATTATCTTTAGCGCTAGGGAATGGGGTCGCCGATTTGGGGAAATAGGGTTTCTAGAACTTAAACGCTATCAATTTTTTAATAGTCTTATTTCTGCTTGTTGGTATAATATCTATCCTACAATGGCTTTAGTAGCGTATGATTTTAAGCGTAAGACAAAGGATATGACCGGGAATGCAGAATAAACCTCTATTGAATCTGCAAAGGAGACTAAGACCTGTGAAAGATTGGTTCGCAGAGGCTTGCTAGGACCGGAGTTGGCTTTACACTTTCAGCCAGCCTGGCGAGGATACCTTCATCCTACCATGAGAGAATTATGTCTATTTGAAGATTCTGGATTTGATTTTGATGATATTGTTACCACGGCTATCGATATATGGTGGGATCAAGGGCATCTTTGCCCCTTTTTATTGGCCGGTACCGTACTCACCGTAGTCCTGGCATTTTTGATCCCCTTTACGAGACATCCTTCTTATGAGATCAAGAATGTCGAAGATAAAGAGGTATCGGCTAAGGCTCCTTGAATTACCATGCGGGGCACATGAAACGTGAGAATATTGGGCAAGAAACCAAGTGTAGATGAACTCTGAGGATCCGGTCAAAGAGAGTACACGAAAGGTTTTAGGGTTATTTAGACCGACCAAAGGCTATTGGCCCTGTTCAGATCATTCAGATCATTAGAGGTAATGGGTGTCCTGAAAATGATAGGTGACTGAAGTGACCAGACAAAGGTGACGGCTTAACAAAGGAATAAATACCATCTAGCCAGTGTGGGCACACCAGAAGTATATACAGATACATGGATCAAATATGTAGACACCCAAAGACATGAAGGGAATATCCAACTAAGCAAATTATGTATGGCCATCGAATAAGAACGGCATAGAATAACCCTCGCTACCACTTTGATCAAATAATGAAACCAGAGAGTGCGGGTTGGTAAGGTCAAACCCTCCTGCATTGAAGCCTGGTTCCTCCGGCAGACCAATCCACCCAGTTGACAAATACTGCTGTAATATCGCCTGGTCCATGTGTTGTTCGTTGAATGGAAATTCTAGGGTGCGATGCATAGGCTGAAGATCAGCTACCGTGGGCAGAACCACCATGTCATCAGTTCCCGTCTGCCCCGGGCCTTGAGCCATTTGCCGAACACTGCTCCAGTATCGTCCCGCAGGGACCCAAGAATCCGAAAGTTCTTCCAAGGTCTTCAGAAATGTTTCTATCAGATGTGTCGTGGACTTTCGACTTGCCGTATGCCCGAAGCTATCAGCTTGAATAGTCGCAAGCGCAGCAGAGAGCGTGCAGTGTGTAGCAGTGACAGGGCTTCTTCGAAAACTGCCAAAGACAGCACGGTATTGTTGACTAAGAGCAGCTATCTCTTTCGCGGCTTCTGCGCATAGGAGTATTGCTTTTTGGGTAACCTTGTCTTTCTGGGGGTGCGACTCTGGGGATGCAGAATAATTTTTCGGGAGAAACGGTTTGCACAGTAGTATGATAGATGTGTGATAGGACATGTTGAGAGTGTAGGCATGAGGAAACTTGTTCTTCTTTCCTGTCCGATTCACCTTCAGCTCCGGAGGAAGAGAATATTTCCATTGTTTGATCTCAAGTAGACATGTGTCAAACGCACATTGCATTTCTACACCAGGCGGCAGCTTTCGGGGGCCATAGCTATGGATATTGTCAGCAGTCATCAATCAATCAGGGTAACTATTCTACAGACAAGCTGACCATTATCTTCTCCAAAGAGCGACAGTGGATAGAAAATTCACGATGAAGTGTCGGTAGCAAAAGGCCGTATCTGGGACTAGATACCTCAGAGGTGTCGTTATTTTTCATGAAATTTTGAGTCGAGGGTAGAGGAACTGAGCCTTGGCAGTCCTTAACCATAAGAAGCTGGAATTAGCGACGATGCAAGAGTGATAGATATCAAAATAGAAATACCAAGGCTGCCTTACAAGCATAGTACAAACGCGACCAGTATATGTCGCCCACAACTTGTCCGTGCAATAAAGCGCCCAATATATTTGAGTTCGCAATTGAGCTTCTTCCGGGGAAATTTGACCAGAGCGCATTAGGGTAGAGGGGTCAAGATTGAACCCCATATCAAAAGCCATGCGAAAAGCCATGCCATGACGTAGCCATGCAGCAGCGTCCGAGCCCATTGCCTAGCGAAGTAAGATGAGTAAAGTGACAAACAAATCCGGGATGAGAGAGCTCTCACAACGTAGGCCATAGCCAGAACGGAAAGTGATTGGACCGTAGCAGTGGTTGGTGACCTGAGATCAAAATGTAACATCACCTCAGCATTTTCAAGAAACAATTGACCAGCTGTCTTTGGGTCATTTGGATCAGAGCGTACATCTACTCTGTCCGAGTAGCGAGACCCAATGGCGAGAATGCAGTTCAAGAGCAGCGGACTGAAAAACCGACCGTTGTCTCGTTGGCTTTGCTTAAATAGGGTTTCATCGACTACCTGATGCCAGGGTTGTTCCCACTGAAAGTAGAGATCAACAAGATGATCCACTAACTCAGGCGGGATATCGTCCATATCAAACGACTGGAAGCTTCCGCCCGGAGATGCTATCATACAGGCCTCTAAGGGTACTGGCGGAAGTGAACCTAGCAAGGATAATATACAAAATCGTCAACTTTGAACACTCTACTCTGCGTGACTGGGATAAGATCTCCTGTCTTAACTCACTGCTAGCGTATTGCAAAAGCTCGGCTCTTCCACTGCTCGAGCCGAAATAACGAGCTTGCCCGTCACACTCGAAATTTAATGAACCATTCATAGATAACGTTTCCTCTGGCTCGATAGGCTCTCCGAAATCCGGATGTGACTCGCTTTCTAACGCTTCACCATCTGCTGAGATCTTTCCACGTGCTCTCAATTCTGCGATGGAGCTCTCAATGTCAATCGAGTGCAGCCAGACTACCTGCTCTAGCATATTTATCCGAGATCTTAGGAGATGAATAAGAGATTTGGGAGCTGTCCCGCGGTGGTCATTAGTTGTTGCATATTCACAACTAACTCCTCGATTGCGACATCTTAAACATGGAGTTTCGCCGTTGCACTAGGGATTTATGTTAGCGTTATTGACCGAGAAATAAGTGGTCTCGTACCTTGGATCTCCGGCGACGACATTCGTGGCACGCACGGGAGGCATACCTACCACGCACCGATGCGGCTGATCGTGGATGATTGGATTCTGGACTCTGCTGTTGAGTTTCTAGAGTACTCTCCATGTTGATATAGGTCACAGCTAATCGAAATTCACTTTCAGAAAATGATGCACCCTAGAAAATGGAAGACTGTACCCCCCAAACCCGACTGATTATTTTACAAAAAGGGTTCGGTTTACCTCCGTAACGTACGGCAGCCGAAATCGGCCAAACTTGACGGGTTTCTGCTTTGCAGAAACTTAGTAATCAATCACCGCTAGGTAATCGAACCACAAAATACTGGATATATAATTACGAGTCCCTCTATGTATATTATCGCTATAGTAGACTATATATCATCACCTTACGCACTACGTAGGTTTAGGATAGGCAGAATGCATGTTGTACGTTACGAAAGCGGAAACTCGGTGAAAATTATAGTATTAATAAGCATTGTAAATTTGGCCCATTTCGGCTGCCGTAACGATGCGATATCCTTGCCACCGCGTGCAGGATAGGAATATAAATTCCGGGGGAGAATATTTACACTCATCGCCTTACCAATTCACGATAAGAGAAAAGATCTGGGGAAGTGGGACCGATATATCGCTTTCACTGTACATACGATATTAAAAGTGAAACACAAAGTTCAATAGACCTAGAAATCTTGTGAAGTAGCAGGAATAGGGGCTCTCACATTTTATATCCTATAAAGTGAAGTCTGTGAAAAAGAGAAAAAGGAATAAGCTAATATAAATCCATTCCTCGAAATTTGTGGCAGAACTGGAGAACTGGGGTAGGTCACGAGCATCCACATTATCTTCTTGCCCCCCTGTCGACCCCAGAGGTGGGTACTTTAAGGATATTTGGGCCCGAGAGCTCTGTAGACCCGTAGACCCACAAACTATAGATTTTGGGACTTTTGAGCGTTTGGATGATAGGCCATCGCTTGTGAACCCGGTGCTCCTCACGCCAGTACCCTGATCAACCTCTAGCTCTGTGAGATTCAAATGAAATTGTGTCCAATTATCCTGCGCTTCAATCAAATTCCCCTTGCCTACGAAATCTGAGAATCACATTCGGAGCTATATCGCCTCCTGTGTACTCCTATGGCCCACGGCAAAATGGCGCCGTCTCACCGTTAGAATGATCGTAGAACTTGAGAGGATAGGTTATCAGTCTCACTTCATATTAGACAGCGGAATTCACAAACCGGGTGGCGGACGTTAGGTTTTGCGCCACGTTATCTAGGGGAAAGAGATAACGCTACTGGAATTCCCCACTGTACCCCCGGGTCATTGTATAATCTATTTACTAAGGTGTCAGCTTAATGCTAGTTCAGACGGGACTATATAAAGGTTGCTTCATACTTTGCTCCCAGTGTACATTTCCACCGATTCTCTACCTACTGCACGGTTCCTTTTTTGGTTACGAACTATATTATTCCGATCAAACCATGGAGACCCATGAAGAGCTTAAGAAAGGTCTCGATGTCGAGAAAATCAGGTCAGAAGGTGAAGACATCGGCATGACCACCCTAATCGCACCAACTTCACTCAAAGACCAATTCAACGAACTGAAAATGAATAGACGTGCTTTGCTGGCTGGTTAGTATTCATTTCCTGGAACAAAGAGTGGACAGACCTGGGTATTGTCAGAATAGAAGCACTGACCTGATAACCAAAAGCCTTCGCCTGTTCTACTACGCCAATTCTCATTGGATACGACCTGACGATGATCGGCTCGATTATCGCAAACTCTCAGTTCATCCACCGCTTCGGCATTTACGATGAAGCCCTCCAGTCCTAGACCCTGCCTGCAAACCGTCAACTTGTCTGGACCATTGTTCAGTACGTGGCTGCTATTGTCTCTGCCTTAGGATCGGGTGTGTTGAACGATACATTCGGGCGTCGCATCTGCTTCCTCATTACTGTCGTGTGAGTGTCGCAGCGCCGTGTTAAATGCCATACAAGTCAATTAACTAATTCATTTTCTACCTCCAAAGTCTCACTATTGCCGGTACACTGACCGAGCTATTCTCCCCAAGCTGGAAAGTCTGGGTTTTGGCTAAAATCTTTATGGGAGCTGCAATGGGTTCTATGCAAGCCAACACACAAACTTACGTCTCGGAGATCACGCCAACGTCGATTAGAGGAGTGACACTCTCACTCTTCCAGTTTTGGATCATCCTGGGCCAGCTGATTGCCTCCTGTGTTTTGGAGGGTACGAGCCACGTTGAAAATAGTTGGTCATGGAAAGGCGCCGTCGTATCGCAATTTGGACCAGCTCTATTCTGTCTCATAATGTTCATCCCTTTCGTTCCAGAGTCTCCCTATTTCCTCGTCGCAAAGGGTAGAATTGATGATGCTAGGGCCGCAATAATCAAGTTGCACGGAGCCGAGAGCATCGACTTGGACGATGTGTTAGTCCAGATACAAGAGACGCTAGCCCACGAGCAACAAGCAAAAGAGGGCTCTTCCTCCTTCATGGAATGCTTGCAAGGAACAAATCTCCGTCGCACGTTCCTGGCCTGTCTGCCTGTGGTGATGCAAATTTTCATGGGTTATCCGCTTTGCGGTAACTATCTGTCCTACTTCCTTACTTTGTCGGGAATGGGCAATGCGTTCCTCGTCACTGTTATATCTGTCGTGTGCTCTTTGGTCTCAGCTGTTTTTGCTTTCTTCGTCATCGAGCGTGTTGGACGCCGAAGCCAACTTCTCATTGGTTGTTACGGTATGCTGGTTTGTCTGTTGATTATCTCCCTGCTTGGATTCCTGGGTTTCGGGGAAACTTGGAACTACCGTTCACTGGCTGCATTCTGTATCATCTGGTCAGTCTTCTATTATGCTTCTGTCGGTGCTGTAGGCTGGACTATTGTTGGGGAAATCTCCTCTTCGCGTCTGCGTGCGAAGACGACATCCCTTGCTGCGTTTTCTAGCTCCCTGTTCAATATGGCCTGGTCGATTGCCATTCCTTACTTGGTCAATAAGGACAGCGCAAACCTCGGACCGAAGTCTGGTCTTTTATTCTTTGGGTTTAGCATTGTGTTGACTTTTGTCTGTTTCATTTCCATGCCTGAGACGAAGGGAAGATCATTCGCACAACTCGATGCCTTGTTTGAAGCGCGTACACCTGCCAGAAAGTTCTAGATGCAGATCTATTTTAGATTGTATCCAAATTCGAGGACACTGGTGAACCTTGGAAAATACAAATACGTCTTGAATCTCTCTATTTTGGCTGCGCAGAATATGTATATGGGGACTGTTGAGGTAGGAGCATATATAGTCAGTTAGATCTCTCCCATTGTGTTTCTTCCTTCCTCTCTTCCTCAATCTTCTCATCCGCTCCACTTCATACATAGTGAATGTACAATTCTTTCTCTCCATAAAGCTATCTCTCATCATGCTACTCCCTGGCTATATCCAACGGCGGAAACATGATTATAGTAATTCTGCTACAATTGCAAATGACAAAACACATCTGCAGAAAAAAAGCATTCTTCACATTTTGGTCGAAACGAACTCTTCTATCGATACATGACTAAGGGTTCCAATATTCACAAAGAACCAGCCGCCTTCGCGCTTTCAGGGTCGTGAGCGACTACTTCAATTTCAACACGCATATCGTCTTCTCCAAGTCTGGAAACACCAACACAAGTCCAGATGGGCTGGTGATCCGGCATGTGTTTCTTGAAGTTCCGGACCATAGCCGCCATAGCCTCGTTATTGATTGGAACGTGGTAGGAATTCACGCGGTACACTTGTGACCAGCCCTGGCCACCGGCGTCTTTCAGGCAGCGTTCCACGTTCGAAAAAGCAAGATCAATCTGCGCATTGATTTCCTTCTCGAATTCGCCCGTAACAGGGTCCCAGCCGCCTACCATTGCCATGAGTTAGGCCATATTTTCCCCCAGTGTTTCAATAGGGAAACAAAATTGAGTCATTTACCTTGACCTGCACATTCAATTCGATCGCCGACACGAACGGCTTGGCTGTACCAGAAATCCCGTTGCTTTTGGGTCCCGGCTCCCTCGTATGCATAGTATTTCAGGTGAGACATAATAACGGTTTGAGTTGGTTTTCTTTTCAAATTCAGAAGGTTCAATTTAATTCAGTTCTTCAGTTCAAAGGGTAAGATGCACTTTAATAAAGGAAGTGATTTTCCACTTTGGCTTGACGTCTTAGTCCGAATTGGGGTTGATCCACTGCACGGAATGTGAATTCCTATCTTTTACTAGTGGCCTATTCCGCAACGCAGCGGAAAATATCCATTGGTAAGGGTTTGAGATGATCCCGGCATATTTGCCTCATTGATTGACTCCCACACAAGATCTGAATTGTCATCGTCGGATTCCTGGGGAAAAGTGGTTCATATGGATTTGTAACCACGGAATCTCACCAAATTGTAGTCTTAATCGCCAACTTCGTATATCTATTCTTACTAAGACATTTAATTTGATAGAAATGTTTCATGCTGATAAAATACCGAAGAATACCTTTTGTGCGCTGTATACACCATCTCGATTTGGTAAATACCCATTCAGATGGACACCACAACCTTGCCTATCGTTTCGCAATCGACTATGCTTTGCATCTGTGCTGGAATATCTTCCAATGCAGCTATAGTAATTTGAGGCTTTATTTGGCCCGATAGAATGTATTCTACTACCTCAAGCGCCTCCCGATGCCCACCCATCAAATTCCCCGACAAGTGCAAATTGCGTTCCACAACAGACCGTAGTGGAATGGCCAGGACGTTCTCGCCTTCGGGTACACTATATACGCAACCCATTGTTTTAGCTTCCATTCGGTAATAGATGATCTCTGATGTAGGGGACTAGTATAATTTCTTACCCAACGCAAACAATCCTGCCACCATCGCAGACATAATCATCCAATCTCCAAAACGCAGAAAACGAGCTGCTCGATACAATGACAGCCTCAGCCGCGCGCGTCAGGCCACAGGAACCTCGTAGTTCCTCACAGGCCCGAAGTAGCGCACCGTGAAAATTCAACCAAGCATCACCATCATGCGCTTCAGGGGCGCTAAGGGCAAAGTCGCTATACTGGGCATGGTCTTTCAACAGCAACTTGTTGATCTTCGCCTTGATATCGATTCCGATTACCCTCGCTCGGAGAACCTGCTTCGCAATCGCCCCGGTCATATGTCCAATGGCACCCCCAATCCCGGCGACGATGACTACATCCCCCGGGCGCACCTTAGCTGCTCTCAGGGACGTTAACGCAGTTGACCCAGAGCATAGAGCGGTGGCGCAGAGCGCAGGATCAATCTTTCCGTTCCAGATCGCCTCTGGTAACCGTACGACGCAGCTGGCTGGAACGGTAGCGTATTCCTGGAATGTGCCGGCAATCTGCTTGGGTGTGTTGAGTTGGGAGGGACATGAAGTAGGAAGGCCGCGGAGGCAATATGTGCAGGATCCACAGGTGGAACCTAGGTAGCGTATCCCGACGGTATGACCGATGAGAGAGGGGTCGTGCGATTTGACCACAGCACCTATACCTTCGTGGCCAGAAACGTGGTTATGTTTGGGATAGCCCGGACCAGGGCCGACCGAGAAGCATGCGTCCTAGGAGAACCGAAGTGTTAGAAAAGCAATTTCCCTTTCTGGGGGGAAGAGCGGGATAGAAGCTAACAACACTGGAAATGCGCGGATACAACTTACACTGCGGCAGATTCCCGTGTAGTAGATACGAACGACGACCTCGCCTGGAGCGGGATCACGTACGATGATCTTTCGGAGGACCATGTTGAGTTCTTCACCCATCTCAGGCGTGATAACAGCCCTCTGCATAAAAGGCAGTGTAATTTGCTGTAATTTTCCGGCAATATTTGAGCCATTTTTTTCCTGGCCTGGTGGAGATTCGTAACCAGAATCTCTATCAAATTCCTCTGTAAGACCCGATGTCGTTTCATGGGCGGTACTGCTCATTATCTTGGGAGGCGTTATAGTCCTACGGTATTGGTCCGGGGTGGATATGACCTCGTCATGCGCCGGGACCTCGACGCTGGCTCCGTTGCAAGAAACAGCCATCTCAGTGGGCTTGATGTGGAGCAAAATGGGATTTCCTGGTAAATCGAAACCGTTACGACCATTCTAGACGTGACTGATCACATTATATACCTGATATATCATTATAGAAACCAATAGGGAACAAATCGAAGTAGATTGGAAGTTGAAATACTCTCAAACTACATCAGATAAGAGGCGGAATATAAATTCCTGAGGCTCCACCATCCGGGGACGTGAATTCCGCCTTATCATAGTCATGAGCAACCTCACACATCGAACACATATATACTATGAATATAGGATATCATTGCCTACATTTCTAGGTACATGTACTTTGAGAAATGGTAACCATATCAGATGATACCGAATTCTTGCTATCAAGCCTCACCCTCGATGAGAAACTCGCTCTGATTGCCGGCGAATCACAATGGCGGACCGCTAGCATCAAGCGTCTAGGCATCCCATCCCTGAAGGTCAGTGCAGCTACCATAAACTAATGTTCCGGAAATAAACTAAAGATCATGCTAGATGTCTGACGGGCCCTCTGGAGCGCGAGGAGAGATATTTGGGGAGGGCGTTCCAGCCGCTTTCCTACCATCGGGTGTAAGCTTGGGAGCAACATGGGACAAGGACATCTTATTTGAGATTGCTCAATTATTGGGAGAAGAGGTGAGCCATTTCCCATCGGGTCATGTCGGAGGAACAAGACTAAGGTGTTGGCAGTGCAAATCCAAGTCCGCATCGGTCCTGCTTGCTCCCACAATCTGTATCCATCGACATCCACTCGGTGGCCGGAATTTCGAGTCATTTGGTGAAGATCCATATCTCACGGGGAAGCTGGCAACAGCCTACGTCCGAGGCCTTCAATCTTGCGGCGTAGGTGCCACACCAAAACATTTTGTTGGTCAGTATAATATCCGCCTCACTAAATGGACCGTCATTTTGATTCTGTGATTGTATAGCAAATGACCAAGAGACAAAGCGGTTCAAATACAATGCTCACATCACACCTCGTGCCTTGCGCGAGGTCTATTTGTTGCCGTTTCAAATGGTCGTCCGTGATGCCGACCCTTGGTGTATGATGACAGCTTATAACAAAGTGAACGATCATTACTGTGATGCATCCAAGGAGCTACTAATTGACATAGCCAGAGGTGAATGGGGCTGGGATGGAGTTTTCACAAGTGACTGGGGTGGGACTACCTCTACAGTCGCATCTATCAACAACGGGCTTGACCTGGAGATGCCCGGACCGCCTAGCAGACGCTCTAAGGCCGCGCTCAAGAAGCCCCTCCGGGAAGGTTTGATTAACTTGAACCGAGTAGATGAGTCCGCGAGTCGTATACTGCGACTGCTCAAGAAGGCAGGACGCTTTTTGGATCCAAGAGACGATCCCGAGCTGTGTGAAAACACAGCCGAGAAAAGGGCATTGCTCTGCCGAGCCGCTAGCTCTGGTATTGTGATGCTGAAGAACGAGGCAAATGCTTTACCGCTAAAAACAACCGAAGACCTAAAGAAAATCGCTATCCTTGGTCCCAACGCAGAGCGGGTGGTGGCTGGTGGTGGTGGGAGCTCATACATCAAAGCCCCCTACTGGACTTCTGTTCACGGCTCCGTCAAAGACGAGTTCTGCCATACTACCGCCAGGATTGTTTCTGCGACTGGGGCCAAAGTCAACCGCTATCTTCCTGTCTGTGAGGTTGTGAGGAATCCAGACACCGGGAGAACTGGGGCCGCCATTGACTGGTTTAACGGTCAAGACTTCGTGAATCCTCCTGTTGCAAAGTCACACACGTGTGTATCAATCCTCTCAGATTCAATTTACTTACTAATGATCTTTCGCGTAGTGATGATCTTTATTTCATGTCTTTCGGCACCGTTCCACCCGAAATTGATAGTTTGACCAGCTGGTCGTACCGCATCCGCGCCACATTGCAACCCCTGACTTCAGGCTGCCACATGATATCCTTAGCATCAATCGGACCGGCTGATCTTTATCTCGATGGAGTCCGCATTGTGGAACAGTCGGGGGCCTTTGATGAGAAAGGTAGTCTGTTCTTTACCTACGGCAGCGAGGAGAAAAAGGTTTCTATTGATATGATTGCGGGACGGGAGTATGATATTCGCATCGACTATCGATCACACGATCGTCAAACTCACCCTGAGCTCCGCGATTTGATGGATCCGATGGAGGATCAGTTCCAAGGGACTCGACTCGGCTTCGAGGAGTTAGATACAGTGGACCGACCCGCTGAGGCTGCACAGCTGGCATCAGAATGTGACGCGGCAATTATTGTGGTTGGACGTGACAAGGAATGGGAGACAGAAGGTCAGGACATCTTGAATTTTGACTTGCCCGGCGAACAGGTGCGATTGATCCATGAAGTGGCTGCCGTTTGCAAGCGCACGATCGTGGTCGTACAAGCCGGAACTCCCATAAGAATGGACTCTTGGATGGACGATGTGCAGGGAATACTGTATACGTGGTATCAAGGCCAGGAACTCGGCAATGCTGCAGCTGCTGTTTTGTGTGGTCGAGTCAATCCTTCAGGTCGACTGCCAGTGACGTTTCCGCGACGACTTGAGGACTGTCCTGCGTTCTCCTCGTTTCCGGGAGAGGAAAACGAGACCTACTACTCCGAGGGAATGTTCGTCGGTTACAGGTGGTGGGACCTTCTATCCATTGAACCACTATTCCCTCTGGGGTTCGGCCTCTCGTATAACAATTTTGAGGTTTCGCCTGGTTCTATCAGCACAAATTCTCTTGTGGAAGGTCCTCCCCTGAAGCTGACTGCCCATGTCAGGAACACTGGAGGTAGTGACATACCTGGTAGAGAGACGGTCATCGCGTGGTTTTCTCAATGCTCGCCTAGGCGGTTGACGAGGCCGAAGAAGCAGATCTGCGGATTTGCGAAGTCAGGTCCATTGTCGCCAAATGAAGAGGAGGAAGTTGAGATCGAGATCGATTTCCATGCTTTTGGTATGTATGACACGAAGTTGGGTGTTTGGGTTGTCGACGCAGAAGCCGAATTCGAGATCCTCGTAGGGACAACAGCATCGAATGCGATGCCTTCTTGGCAACTGAAGGCTACTCGGGAGATAAAGTGGATTCGCTAGTATTGAAGACAAATACCACTGTCAAAAACGTTTACCAACAATTGAAATTAGTACATCGATCATGAATGTGAACGTTTCGCACAGGTGACCTACCGCGGTCTCAGGAAATAAACCATCGTACAGCAGTGGAAGAAGTGGTTTGAAATATCTTATCATTATTACTCAGAGTCTTCAAAATACGCAGGCTGGTCTTCAATGAGTGCCCGTAAATTAGGGTATGCTCCTGTCCAACATCCTTGTATCATAGATCCAGATAGCAAAGTTATATCAAGAATTTACTCCTCCACACTTAGACCATTTGTAACCATTTGTAAACTATTATTTGTCAGTCTACTCTTCCCGGGTAGGGGGATAGACAAATATTAGGCCCACTAGACACAATGCGAATGACGCTGCTAACCCATAATACGGCAGCCCAAGCGACATGCCTTCCGATCTCATTCCCGTCTGAAACAGCCACGCGAGTACCGGCCCAGCGAACAGCGACCCCGTTGTTTCTACTATACCGATGACCGTATTTAGTTTAGACGTGTCCTGTGGTGCTACATAGCTGGTTGCTAATGAGCGACACCGCGGGGCCGGACCTGACCCCAGGCTATAAACCGCCAATCCAGCAACCACCAATTCCTATCTGCGAGGCAGCCATGAAGAGTGCTCCGACAGCGGTAATTGCAACTATTGTCTCCAAAGCATAGGATTCCTAAGCCCCAGTGTGGTGAAGCGCGATCAGGCACTAAGAGGCCACGGGTGGTTGCCTGCCACGCTAATATATTGTCTTCTGATTGGTTCAATTTAGACCCTTGCACAAGCCTTCTCGTATCAAGCCGGCAATTCTGTTTGCCTTTTTTTTTTTCGGATGTAGCCTTAAATCAATTAGTCCCAATGACTTCAAAACTGATATAGGGAGGCCTAGATGCCCATGATCCGATTTGACTTGACCCCCATTCACGTTGGAAATAATTGCCTACAGGTTCCCCAAAGCCAAAATGAGCGAAAGCAACACTCGTTGGACATTACTTGTCGGTATCAACTTCTACGCGACTCGACCGCTGAGGGGATGTGTTAACGATGTCAACATGATGAAACAATACCTGAGAAGCGATGCGACAAACAACAGAGTGACTGTCCTTACAGCTACCAAATCACCCGATACGGCATATCGCCAGCCTGTGGAACAGCAATCAGCATGGCCTACTCAATCCAATATCCGCTCTCACTTGGAGGAAATTATCAGGTCGGCCAATGCCGGTGACCTAGTCTACATTCACTACTCGGGTCATGGAAGCCGCCGACCCACACCTGCTCAAAAGCCGTACGGACATAGTGACACCGGTGATGTGGCATTGGTGGTTTTGAACGACGATGCTTCTGCAAACGAAGACTTCCCCGGATTTGCTCTCGCAATGATACTCAAGCGAATGGTCAAAAAGGGTCTACTTGTCACACTCGTACTAGACTGCTGCTTTTCTGGGCACGTGTACCGACAAGATAGCGAACAGAACACCAGCATTCGAACCCTGGGTCCTATATCGGCAATAGGTGAACTACCTGTGCACAGCAGCCGCTCCTACACGACACAGCAGACCTTCCGGGATGCCCAGCCACTTCCACGCTGGCTGGTTAACCCCGAAGGATACAAAATAATTTCAGCCTGCGGACCACACGAAATTGCCCAAGAGACAGCGTTTCACGGAGCGCATCATGGCGTGTTGTCATTCTTTCTCCACCAGTCTCTGGTTTCTCTGAGGAACCAGCAGACTGCGATCTCACACCAGACATTTCTGGGTAACTTGATAAACTCAGTTCAGTCCCAGGTGACTCGTCAGACACCTACGCATTGTGGAACCCAACGGTTCTCCTTTTTTGAGGGAATCTCTAGGGAACCTATCTCTGATTTTATTCCTGTATCAGGTGATAATTCTCGGCTTTGCCTGGATGCTGGATCTGCCCATGGGGTGTGTTGTGGTGATACGTTTGCCCTATATCCATTCTTTTCGCCCGAGAACGCGATAGAAGCTGCCTCACTTCCATCCTTCGAAGCCAAAGTTCTGTCCCTGACCCCTTTCACGTCCGAACTGGGGGCACCTGGATCTGCTGCAATGCCGAACGCGCACAGAAATGGATGGAAGGCCAAGGCACTCACTCGTTCCTTGCCTCCACAAGTCCAAGTCGGGTTGACACAAACGATGGATAATAAAGCTGAATGGTCCCGTGCAGCCCTTGGTCGGCACTTCTTCCAAATTCTGGAAGAGCCAAGTGCTGACAGCCAATGCGAGTTCTTTCTCGATAGGGCTCAAGATGGGAATTATCGAATCTTGAACTCAGCTCACCAAATGATCCCCAGCATTCTGCCGATCCCCTTAGACTCGCCCGCTGAGTTCCAGCCCGTCATAGAAATTCTTGAACACCTAGCCACCTTTAAATACATCGAAGGGTTTAAAAGCCCGATCCCCACCTTGAAATTCCAGAGCAACTTCCATCTGGATCTGGAGGATGCAAGCCAAAGATTCTATTCTTTGGATGCTGTACTTGATACCAAGGAAAACCAGGATTTGAAGTTGACAATCAAGAACAAGAGCAAGAATTCCCCACTATATGCAACTATTCTCAACTTGACTCCGATGTGGCAGATTCAATGTCTTACTGCTGATGAAGGAAATTCCGGTTACTTGACGATTCCACCAGAAGGCGATGACTGCACCGACAAGGGTACGATTGAGTGGTCAATGGCCGTCCCTGGGCTCTTGCGACCGCAACAAGAATGTGAAGACAAGATTAAGATTATCTTAACAACTCACCCAACGTCTTTCCACACACTGCTTTTGCCTAAGATTGTTGAGCCCATTGAGCATCGCCTTCGAACCCATCAGCCAACCTCTGCATGGATTTCGCTCAGTGAGCAGCCGACTAGCATCGGACGGCAAGAAGATTATTACATCGCAACACTGGTGATACGAACTCATGTCTGAATAATGATGATAGTCGGTGATCTTGGTTCATTTCGTAAGAAGGCTCGCCAAATGCAAAACCATCACACCAAAGAACCGGTACATAGGCTTAAACACATGCAGTGGCATGCGTAAGTAAATCACGAGGCAGCTTCCACCTCTGACTCTTTGAACAATTTCTTTCCTCCTATGGCAATCGGGTTTCCATCATCGTCACAAACGGAATATTGCCCTCCAGTCACCATCTCGATCATATACGGACCATGGCGTGCTACCGTTCCGTCGGGGTTAGGCAGCAAAACATATACCCAATCAGCAGGATAGAAACGGCCTTTCTGTGAACATGTAAGCCTGTATATTTATTTCGATATTCCAGAATATGAAGGTGAATTACGTTTTTATAAGGAAGAATCTCGGCTCGGCCATCATCGATAAGATTGGCAATGGGACTAATTCTGGATTGTACAATTGGTTAGTTGAAAACGAGACAAAAAGATTCGAATAACTTACTCTCGGTGGTTAGCCATGAAGTTTCATCAAATTTAACGGTTTGTGGGATATTGGCTTTAATATATGTACCTGTAACAAAGTACTGACTTGATTAAAAACAGATTGTACACTTTTATATATTTCTTTTTATTGATCGGAAGGTCCAATTGGGCATCAATTTAACCCGGGTCATCTGAGATCTCAGCCTCATGTAAAGGACACAGCCCTATTCTCTCTTCGAGACGACATTCTTGAACCCTCGATCAAGACTCAACATCACAATGTCTCTTCCTCAATATTATACATCCTCCAGCGCTGACTCGAGTCCAGTCATGAGAAATAATGATGTATGCCCAGAATCACAGTGCGAGAAACCCAGCCGACAGTCAGCAATGAGTCGCCTCTGGAGTGCGATTTCACCGGGGACCAGGAGCGATCAGACTAACGAAGAAGGCGCTTCTCCTATTTTGACTGGAAAAAAAAGTACAATTTGGCGATGCTGAATTAGAATGTTCAAGATAATGACCAACCGCTGACTGTCTCCTAGTCGAGGATTATCCTCAGGGCCGACCCCGTTTCGCAGCTCTAATTGCTTCGCAGGATTCCTTCAAATTTTGCCGACGATTTCCATACCTACGTACCCGTTTACTTTTAGAGAAACAAGACCGTCTCTCGTTATTAGAGAAAAGGCTAGACAATATCGACCGCGAAGAAACCAGGAATCTAAATTTATCTAGTAGTCGATTGGACCGCAATCAAAAGCGACAGGACACCATGAAAGAGATTGATGAAGCCATGGCAGACTATGGTAAGATTTTGTGTTATGATGTTACTACAGTCTTCATTGCCAACAGCCGATCTCATATTATTCATTCCAGATTCATTTATTCAGCGAAGTTCCCAAATATTACAAGCCCCGCCTCCAGAATCTAGCCACGTCCAGAACCTACGAAATTGGATCGAAGGAAATCGACAACTAGCTCATCATGAAACAGACTATGTGACAGAAGTCAACATGATGCGAGAATTAGCGAGCTTGGCGGCACCAGCAGATGGGGCCCTGAATCAAGTGAGCATTTGGATGCAAAGAATCCTTCCACGAGTTTGCGGTAGATATTACCACGTTTGTACCTCTCCACCCGGATTGTCCTTGAATGCAAGCTGAGATGTCCACAACAGTCCAAATGGGCAGATGTGTCGTCGGACCCGAATGTATTCGGTTGTTCAGGCGCTTTTCTCGAGAACTTGGCACGAATCCTTATCACCATTCTAGTAATCGCTTACCTTCTCGTACCGGTGGTTATTTGCAACTCCTTTGTGGATATCTCTGGACGTTTGGGTGTGATTGTTATGTCTACCGCGGTTTTTGTCATCACTCTAGCTGGGTTGATGCGAGCGAGGACAGTGGATCTCTTCATTGCAGGATCGGCGTATGATGATACTATTATGCACAAACCCTTTGGACATTCAACTGACTATATTTCTAGGTACGCTACAGTCTTGACTGTGTTCATTACAAACACAAATTAGTCAAGGGCTTTATCATTATGTCAAGGCCAACCGACCATTTTATAGAGATTTCATTCGATAGGTTGATCAGATTGTGAGTAGTGTGTATATAGACTGTGAATAAAACAAGGATCATGCGTTATATTATGGCTGTTTAAGGGGTTTGTGTCCTAGATCATTGGAGGTATTGGACGTGGAACATGGAGAGAGAATGGTTAGTAAAGTCTACATGTAGTGAACCGATATAATTTTGCTGCAATGATAACTATCCAAAGCTGAGTTTGTTTACTTGAAGATTTTCTACCTAAGATTACTAGTAGTGAATAACCGGAACAGGGGGGGACATGGTAATTTTGATATTAAATCGAAGTAGTGGACAAGAAATACTCGAATAATTTGAATTTAGACAGACTGAGAGTGAGATACGTCAGGGCGTCTCAAGTAAAATGATCTACTTAAACATACTCATCATGAACCCATACACAAAAACCAGTGGACACAATTGCATCCCTGTCAAAACTAGTACGTTGGAGATTTTGTTCCAGACGCCCAGCATTCCATATGTGAGGCAGTTCCAAGCACCTCCACGAAAGTGGCTTTCCTTTAGTGACAATTGTACGAATAATGTCCCGCTGCTCACTATAGCATCTGAGCTCTTCAGGTACTGATATGCGAAACGCAAACGAAATAGGACGTTCTTTGTGAAGTGACACTGGTGAGTCCTGTGGAGGGTAAAGCTGCTTCACATTGAACCCAGGCCCGAGGCAAAGGACAATAAAATAAAGCTGGCACTCGCCATTGTTCCTCAGAGTAAATCGCATACTCAGTCGATGTTTCGAAGTTAAACTAACATCTTGCCTGACAAGGCTCAGCTCGAATGGTGGGGAGCGCTTAGATGAAAGTCTTTTAAGAGCTAGAATTTGCGAGAACCGAGTCAAATGCCTGATGACGATAGCAGAGTTGATCGATAATTCGTGATTACCCTCGCCTATGATATTCCCTCCTCGCACAGGACCTTCATAGCCTATCAAATAAGACGGCCCATAAATGTCAATGCTACTGTCGTCGCGCTTTTTAAGCGTCAACTTGACGGCATTATGATCGTCAAAGTCGTTGGTATCCAAAATTTGGATATCACCAACAATCCTCTGTTCGACCGCCGTATGAAGAGTGCGCCGAAATTCGTTTCCTAGATCGCGATCGACAAGCACACGAAGTGATTCCGATCCCAAGCTCCATCTAGAAGGAACAACTTCACAGCTATTCTGGTTTGGGATTTCGGAGTGAGGTGACAGAATCCGAGCACTACACTGAAAGTCATCGACTTTGTTCACCATGAACGTCAAATCTAAAGACGGGTAATTCATGAACTCGGATCTTTCATGGACGCCATGAAACTTTCCCATCGGAACAAAAATGGTGTCGGCATGTATTTGTGCAATAATCGGCGTAGATGAGAATGGTTCGGTGTTTCCAAAGAACAAAAGCCTGTCTCTTCCGTACACTCTAGGTGTCTGAATGTGGAGCATGCCTTGTACTTGATCGCGGAGATTCCGGTAGCTGATTTTTTTTGAGTGAGGTAATTGCTGTTGAAGAGAAGCCAATAGAGAATATGTGAATGCTCCACGGTGTTCGTCTCCGTATTGCCTCTCCTCTGCTTGCTGGTCACTTGTACATGCTGCCATTAGGGTAAATCCTTTTGGATTAATCCCCCATGAACTTTCCAACTCACTATCACGAGAACCGGTTTTACTACTTGTCTCCGTGATAGTGGCTTCGTCGATGGTGTTGTTGGGAACGTCCGTCCAGCCCTGCGGTGTTCGAATATTGGCGCCAGTACGCCATCCACCCCCAGAATAGCAGCTGTCAAGGATGACGACGATGCAAACATCCTTTTCATTGAGCCTTTTTAGCCATTCATTCAACTGCCATCCCCTAATAGCTGCATTTGAGTTACAATAATCCATTGTAATCAAAGATGAGTCGACCGACCGCTCTTTCGGCGAACGTTCAGTCGGTTGCAACTGTGCCCCATGCCCCGAAAAGTGAAAGAAGAAAAAGTCACCCGCAATAGCCTTTTCCGTGATGGTATCAAATGCATCTTTAATGTTTTCAAATGTCGGCCATAACTCTGGTGGCTCCGCCGGCTCCTTGGAGTGTGCATCTGTAGGGACGGAAGACGTGAGTACGTGGGGCTCGTTCACTTGGAATTCCCCTCGAAGGAACTCTCTCATCGCTCGCACATCGTTCACGCATCCCTGAAGGTTTTTGAGGTAAAGCGGATCTCCGGTTGCATTTTTCCTCGAGCCGTCATTAAGATACATGTCGATTCCAACAAGCAAAGCATAATAATTTGTGACCGTGGAGGCCATGACTAGTAGCAGGTAGCAGTATGTTCACCGTAGATTTGAAAAAGTAGGGGGTGGTTAGGGGTATTCGGATCATTTTCACATCTGAGTGGGGCGGAACTATCAGCCTCACTAATATAAGATGATATGACGTTGGGCATGCATTCGACCTTTGAATCCCACCTTATACACTCGCAGCGATTCTTGGTCAATTCAAAGCCGCTCAGCTTGGATGGGCACAGCCACAATGCTATCTGACTTGATATCTCCCAGAACGAGGCAGTGCAGGTGGTCATATTTTGACGGAACGTCTGTTGGGGGCAGCTGTCGAGAATAACAAGGACATAGTCATAAAAAACACGAGGCTCGCTATTTTGTGCTTGAAATTATCATTTTTGAATGAACGAATATCGCTCGGAAGAAAATAGACTCATCGAGTTGAAATACGTGTGTTTAATATCAACTACCGTAGTGAACATAAGGAATCCAATGCGGCTGCCTTCGCTCCACCCACAGGTCTTCTAGTTCGGCGTCTCTTTCTAACCTCAAATCTCGCAGTCCCTCTGTCGCAGTACTTACATCGGCCTGAACCCACCGGTCTCGAAGAATCCGGCAGGCATGGTGAAGCCCACGGCTAACCGTCTCATCACTCATCCCCGCATCACGGAAGAACTCATATGTCATTCGAGCCATATCCACGGAAAATTCATCATCGACGCTCCAAAGCGTGCCTATCACGTGACGAAAGCCGGCCAGTTGATAAGCACTAGCAATATGAATGCTTTCATCCATAGAGCTTTCATCAAGCAGCTGCCCGGTCCCGCATGCAGAGAGATAGGCGAGAAATGGTGGGTTTGAGCTAAGACTGACTTCGAGAAGACTTTCCACAGTAAGTGGCTGGCTCTCCCAATCCTCAAGGAGCAACTGGCTATGAAGTGGCTCTGACGGATGTGTGCTACCATGGCCAGCAAAATGGAAAACCCGACAATCCGCCAAGGCCGATAAAACATTGGGCTTATACGGCCGAGGTTGCAACTGAGACAGACCCATCACCTTGCAGATAGCCAGCACGGTATCAGTTTCAACAGATGCGAATGGAAGGGGCTCCTGTTTTGGTGTACGTTGCATAGTAACGATAACGGCATTCGCAGGAGCTCTCGGAGCTGACATCTCAGATACCTGCTGACGACCGTGTATAATTGCCTTGACCGATGAGCTATACGATGAGATAACTCGATCAAGTGCTGTTTCGCCGCATGCTCTCAGGTGGTGCCCTGCTGCATGGAGCGGAAAGCGAGTCAGGATACCCGTTGGGATCCACCAAACATGTGGCCACTTTTCATCTTTTGGGGTCTCTTTGAAGCCAAGTACATCCATTATGGGGCATATAATAACATCCCAAAGCCACCCAAGGGTTTCAAGAGACCGCATGTTTGTAACCTTTGAATGAAGATCTTCCTTAGTAAGAAAGGGGAGCCATAGTAGCCGAACGCCAGTGTGCTGAATGATCAGAGCATCACAGCGATAATCGCTAACATTGATGATCACTATAGGACCAGATCTTGCAGCCTCCAATATGTCATCCTTTGATGCTGGGAGAAGAAATCGATCAAACTCATGCAGCGAACGAATTGTCTGCAAGGTTCTGTGAAGCCTCGGTATAGCTTCTTGACTTTTGCTGCCTTCGGGCTCAACTGGGGCAGTATCATCAAGCATATCAGAAAATCCTCGAGAGGAGGGTGAATCTAGCTTTTCCAGCAATTCCATCAAACTATTCGCTAGCTGGGGATGCTTCATTCGTAAAGCCGAAATGTCAGACTGTTCAAAAAGGGCATCTGCTATTATTCCACGGCCTATTTCAAGGCATTGTATAGCAGTAACTGAATCTTTCTCGGCATAGAGGGCAATAGCAGCCGCATCGGAAGATAGCCCAACGGCAACAGAAAGAAGATGTCGTTTGTCGCTGTTTTTGAGGGAACGCGATGACAAGAAAGGAATTAACTCGATAGTTTTCCTGCTAATAGAATAGGCCTCCTGTGGAGTATTGAGTCCCTTGAAATACGCAGGCAATGATATTAAACGGCGGCCTGCTGAGATACGAATGCCCATGGCAGCAGTAGTGTGTTCAAGGCCAAGAAGGAGCAATCTCTGAGCGTCCTTAAGGTCTGTGAGTGTCGTCTTCCGTCCGAATCTGTGTTGTAGAGATATCCCAAGAATGATCAACTGCGCAGCTCGGTTTGGATGATCTACCGGATAGGCTTCGTCGGCTTGCCGCCCTAGTTCGATTGACCTCTCAAGATCTGCCATTTCGTCACTCCGTTTGTACTTGTTGAAAAGAAAAACCGAGAGATTGTGCAAGTGTGTAGCTCGGTTAGGATGATCTAGTGGTGTAGCTTCGAGGGCTTGCTGTACCATTTCAATCACCTTGTCAAAATCTGCAACCGCCCAGGCTTGAGACTTTTTATTGGCTTCTAGTAGAAAAGCTGCGCGATTGTTTTTTCGCATGGCTTTGGATGATCTGGCGGAGTGACTTCGAGCACTTGCTGTGCTATCCTACTCGCCTCCTCAGCATCTTGCATCCTCTCGGTCCGGGTATATCTGGTGTAGAGTGACAATGCGAGATTGTTCAATCGTTCAGCTCGGGCTGGATGATCAGACGGGGTAGCTGTAACGGCCTCTCGCGCTATGTTGATCGCATCCTCAAGATCTGCCATCGCACCGGTTTGTGAAAATCTGTTACGTAGATGATTTCCCAGATTGCTCAAATAAATAGCTCGGTCTAGATGACCCGGGGGAGTGGCATCGATAGATTGTCGTGCTATTTCGATCGCTTCCTCAAGATTTGCTATCGCTCCAGTTTGCAAGTATCTATCACCTAGAAACATTGCGAGATTATTCAGAGATCTAGCCCGTTCTAGACGATGAACGCGAGTATCTTCAATGGCTTGTCGCATCATTTTGATCGCCTCTTCAAGATCCTTCATTGTCCTGGTCCACGAGTATCTGCCGTATAGATATGATCCGAGATTGTTCAAATAATTAGCTCGGTCTGGATGATCCAAGGAAGTAGCTTAAATAGCTTGCCGCGCCATTTTAATCGCTTCCTCGAGGTCATCTACCATCCCATTCCGCAAGTATCTTTCACTTAGAGCGGTCCCGAGATGATCTATTCGATGAGCTCGATCTATATGATCGGGCGGAGTGGCCTCAACAGATTGCCGCGATATTTTGATCGCCTCCTCAAGGTCTTCCTGCTCCCTAGTTCGCAAGCACCTGTCATGTAGAAACCCTACGAGATCGTTCAAGTATGTAGTTCGGTCAGGGTGATCGGGCGGAGTGGCCTCAATGGCTTGCCGCATTATTTTGATCCCCTCCTCAAGGTCTTCCTGCTCCCCAGTCCCCAAGTACCTATCACGCAGAGACCCTGCGAGGCCGTTCAAGTATGCAGCTCGGCCTAGATGATCGGGCGGAGTAGCTTCAATGACTTGCCGCATTGTTTGAATCGCCTCATCAATGTCTTCTGGCATCATAGTTCGCGAATATCTATTGCGTAGACAGTTTGCAAGACTATGACAAAACATAGCTCGGTCTAGATGATCAGGCGGAGTGGTCTCAATAACTTGCCGCGCTATCTTGATTGCCTCCTCGAGATCTGCTACCCGCCTAATCCGCAAGTATGTGTCCCGTAGACAGCTTGCAAGACTATGACAAAACATAGCTCGGTTTGGATGATCAGGCGGAGCGGTCTCAATAACTTGCCGCGCTATCTTGGTTGCTTCCTCAAGGTCTTCCTGCACTCCGGTCCATAGGTACCTATCTCGTAGAGACCCTGCGACATTGCTTAATCGCTCAGCTCCATCTGGATGACCGGGCGGAGTGGCTGCGACAGCTTGTTGTGCTATTTTAAGCGCCTCCTCGAGATCTGCTATTCGTCCGATCCGCGAGTATCTGTCGCGTAGCAAAACTCCAATATTGTTCAAATACATAGCTTGGTCTGGATGACCAGGTGGAGTTGCTTTGACCAGCAGCCGCATTATTTCGGTTGCGTCGTCAAGATCTTCCATTTTCCCCATCCGCGAGTATCTATCGCGTCGGGAGATTGCGAGATCATTGAGCAGTATAGCTAGGTTTGGGCGATCAGGGGGGTGGTTTCGACAGCTTGCCGCGGTATTTCGATAGGCTCCTCAGGGCTTGCCATCGTTGGAGTACAGTTTTTGAAAACTGGACTGAGGCAACGACTGTATTCAATGCTTGAATTGTCTACCAGGCAAGGACTATTCCAAAGGCAAAATTTATTGCATGCTACAAATTGACTGACGGCATCTTAGGCAGCCATGCATTTATGTACTACATACTTACGGGCGACGAAGTGTGCCACCTAGACACAACTCTTTCATTTGGATTATATTGCCAATAATTTAGTCCTCACTTTCTAGGGTTGGGGGGAAATAAAGTCTTCAGTCAAAATTCTATTAACTTATTTAGCATATATATACTCTAAGTGTATTTAATTGATACTTTATAATTATATATCTCCATAGTAATTCCATACTAACTATAAACTAGTTTTATTCATTTTGTAGAAAGAAACCAAAAAAGACCAGTAAAAAGACCAGATAAGAAGTAGTATTGAGCCTACATAGTTCATAGTGTTAAACTATGTAGTATACTATATACTCCTTACCCTTCCTTAGATTCTCGGCCTTAACTTCTTAGGTACCCCTTTTCTTAGTAGGATACAAATACAAATGGAAATGTCATATATGCTTCGAGAGGGCGGTAGCTTCTGGTCAGGCAGTATCCAATAAGAGAGTTATGTCCAGGTGGCACACTTAGTCGTCCGTACACGCTGGCTTAGCGATGTCTATTGGACTGTTTGGTTTCTCACCTGGGCTTACACTGACAATACGATAAAATGACCGCAATACTCTCCACCACTTAGGAAATACCCCAACTTTATACAAACATATCATATTAGATTAGGAACTTTCAATAAGTATAGCACTAATATTTTAGTGTCATTCTAGTACTTTTATAAAATTTGAAGGGTAAGTTTCGGGCAAGCCTTTATAGTTGTATGTATATCCTATGTTAGGCGCGTAGTAGGTTAAATTTTCAAATCTTAATACTGTAAGAGAGTGCGCTAATGTCTAGGCTGAACTCGAATATAGGATTTAAATAGATAAGATCATTATATATGTTAAGTTACAACAAGACCGAAAAGAAAACTGTAGTACTAAAATTATGTTTTCTACCCTAAAATATCCAAGTAGCCTCCAGTTTCAACCATTGGTGACCCCTATACTAAATAGCGATATCCCATTTCTCACCAAATTTCAAACGTCGGCAGATTGGCGACGGTCATCATGTACAACAGCGGGCTTCTTCTCATCCATCATGTCAGTTGTGTCTCCAACACAAGCGCCTGGCCCATCAAAGATAAAAGCGATCTCTTCCAAGGATGGTCCCTTTGTCTCTGGGAACATGAAATAAACTCCGACAAACTCGACCATAACCCAAATGACAAAGATAATATAAAACCGCCACGCGATATTTTCCAGACCAATAGGCACGGTGAAGGTAGAGAGCATCATGAAACAAAACTGAACAAAATAATAGAATGACAATCCTTTTGCACGTAGACGATAAGGTAGGATTTCAGTGATGTAAAGACCAAGGTTGCCGGTGATGCCGAGATTGTAGGCGGGAGAGAAGAGGTATAGAAGCGCGACCACAGCATAGGCAGCGGCCTTGTTGGTGGGATCATTGGCAAAGGTGGCGCTACACGCAGTGATGGAGATAACGACGACCCAAATCGCTATGAGAGACCACAAGAAGAGTTTGCGGCGACCGAGCTTGGCTGGCAATGTGGCGAAATAAACAGCGCTGAACCAAGAAAGCATCTGGCTGGTTGCGTTGATGAGGGTTTGTTGAAGATCGGTTTTCAAGCCCACGGATCTCAAGATGGGCGAGAGATAGTAGGAGACAAATGCATTTCCAGACATTTGCGAGCAAATGGCCGCCCATATCAATATGAACATGCGTTTGCGGTTGCCGGGGGTACTGCCTAAGTCGCGTAAAAAGGCAACTATGTTGTTCTCGTGTGTTGCTTCGGCCCGCAACGTCTCTAGAATCTCGGCGTACTCAAACTGAACGAGCTGGTCGGAGACGTCGCCTTCACCGTGATACTTGGCAAGCATGGCGAGTGCCTCTTCGTTCCGGCCTTTGCTAACCAGCCAACGGGGCGATTCAGGAACCCACCAGATAGCAAGTAGTTGGATGACAGACGGAAGTGCTTGCAGCGCCGATGGGATACGCCAGGAAGCCGTGCTATCGATACGAAAGGTACCGAAGGTGCACCAACCGGCAACAACAGAACCCACCGAATAGAAAGTGAGAAACAGAGCAGTGGCAGTACTACGCTGAGCCGGATGAGCGATCTCGGTAATATAAGGTGCACCCACACCAGCGACGATAACACTGCCAGCCCCAATGATAACGCGCGAAACGATAAACATGGCGATATTGATGGCAGAGCCTTGCAAGACAGCACCGACACAACATAGAGCAGCTCCCGTGGCAATACCAATGCGTCGTCCAAAAGTATCCGCCATGGGCGAGATCAAGAAGGTGCCAACGATGCCGCCAAGGGGATAGGAACCGTTGAAGAAGCCAAGCAAACCGCCGGTGGGTGATCCAAAGTAAGTCTGCCAATGTGACACGGATTGGAGACCGTTCATCATACTGCCGTCAAAGCTAGGGTTTGGTGAGCTGAGTTTCTAGCAGTTGGGATGAAACTTGAACAAACCCTTGCGAGAAAATCGACAACAGCGGAATCAACATGAGCAAATTGAGAGCACGAAGGTTGCGGTGCTTCCACCAACGCGCCGTATCAACACACGAAGGAGGCAAGACATCCCCAGGAGTATTCGGAGTCATTGAGTCAAAGAGATGATTGGTCAATGGTAGTAAATGATCGGTGAATAAGTGATCGACTAGAGGTGCAGCATCCCTCTAAATACATCTCTTGACTCTTCTTTCTCCAGACTCGGTCTCGGGATGGGTCTATCCGAGGAACCCTGGAGAATCCGGGGAGAACCCCCCGCAAAAATATGCTTTGGCCCCGGCAATTTAAGGACTAACATCCCCCGACGAGGGCTAGATTTCTACCCATTTTCATTTCCAATCTCCATACTCCCCGGAGAAACATAAACCGAAACATGCCATGTTCTCGAACTAGCAGCGCCATCCTGAGAACCCCCCACTATCAGACGGTCCAGATGGAAGCCAAGAAAGACTGCGATCACCAGTTGCCTGCTTTCCGGCAGTGTGGGTGGCAACACGTTACTTACCTATAGGTACATGACGGTGCAGTTTGAGCAAACGATGACACAGTTATTTCTGTTCTCAGATTTCCTGAACCAAATGGGCAGCTTTTGGCAGCTCAGCCCTAAATACGCTCAACCCTTTGATCGGGCTACTTTAGAATTTGATATAGGAGCTCTACCGGGTCAAGGTATAGTCGTACACATGACAGATCTGCAAATTTCAGCATCCCAATTAGAGAACCAGTTTCAACCGGATCCCATGCTACACGTCGTGACCAAAATCTGGAGCAACTCATTTCAGCTTCGATATACCTCAACACCGCACAGTTGGCATTGCGTACCACTGCGACATCGGCATACTATCAGTTCCATCCATCCGAATTCGGCATATGGCTTTAAGAAGTACATGTAATATTAGTTCTACGGTGATCTAATTTTCACAATTCATCCAAATAAAACACATCTCCTCTGAGCTATCCAACGTCACCATCGCCTGGCCTGGGAGCCTTACATGAACAGAGATTGGCCGAGATAGTCCTGTGATGCTCAAGAAAACCCGTGTCTTGGTATCTGAGTCGGCTCTTGCCCATGTAACCTTGGCCAACGCTACCCTCCCCTCTCTATAGAATGGTATTGCCGCCTCTAGTGAGCGATAAAGACCAATTCGGGGAGTAAACTCCATCTCCTCCCAGCCAGGCTTTGCCGGCCGTATTCCCGCTACCTCAGCCAGAAACTCATGAATCGGAGCGCTTCCCCAGGCATGACAATCAGATCGATGCGAGACATCATCTTCCTCCCAGGTCGTCAACTGCAAAGCCAATTGATCCCGCCATGGCTGCCAGAATTCGTGGAACAGTTCGTCGTACAAAGGGCCACTAGCGCCGCTGATGGCACGCAGTGTATAAAATGACATCGAAATAGAGGTCTTGATGATTGAGTCACTGTGATTCAGGGTGTTCAATGCCCTTCGTAATAGGTACTGGGCATTGGTAGCACACACCGCACCGCTCAGCACCGCCCAGACCTGATTTTGCTGGCTGCGGTCAATATTAGGGTCTGAATCTGCAGCGAGGCTGTCGGTGAAATATTGACCGTCAAAGCAATGACGTTGGACTGCGTTGCCGATGCGGCTTGCTCGATCGGAATATTCCTCCGCAAGGGCTGGTCGACTACCACATTCAAGCTGCAACTGTGATGCCATTTTGAGCGTGTATGCGTAGAGACTATTCGTATACGTGGAGATGCCAGATTTGACTACCGACGGCGGAATTCCATACGGACGCCACTGCTCAGTCCAATCGTGAAAATTCCAGATACCCTCTGTACTCGGAAGAGCGACGAGATCGAATTTCTCACTGATGCGCGCATGGAAATATCCTAGCACGGCGTCCAGTACGGGGAGAAATGGCCTGATGAAATCCCTGTCGCCGAAGAAGGTGAAGTGATCGTGTAGCATGCAAACCCAATAAAGTGAGAAGTGGGGAATGATTTGCAACTGGTTTGATGGTGCTCGGCTGGCTGTTAGCCCAATGCTCGGCTGAAACGAGCTATGGAGCTGAATGATAGCTTGCCTTGCTAGACGATCATCCGCAGATGTATAGTAGGTAAACAGGGCTGAGCTCCGTGTATCCATGGCGTACTGAAGCTGTTCATAGAATGGACAATCTTCATAGCAATCATGCATGCAGTTTCGTAGAGTTTGTACGCTTGTTTCGTAGAGCTTTTCTGCAATTCCATCATCCGAGCTCGTCTTAACAGCCCCTAAGACTTCCAAGGGATAGCGAACCATATTGACCTCAATACCTTGCCAGGTCAAGTCTGAAGAACCAACTTGGATGTTGAGCCGGATGAAGCGAAGTGTGCGCCAATGGAAGGGCATCAAGATCTCTTCTGTGTCCTCGCTCTCGTGATATCCAAGGTCAAGCTTCGAATCATGCCCTCTCAGAACGAAGATGTCTCGAGGCCCGATCAAGCATTTGCTTTTATCACGTCGGTCTCCCTTTCGTCGTAAGTAGGGAATCTGCTCGGGCTTGTCCTCGTAGGCTTCAGAATATGTGATGATTACTGTTGCTCCACCCTTCAGAGGACGCTTGAACCGAAGACGGATAAAAGCGGTGATATGGTGCGGAGCCTCAAGGTCAAGTTGATGACTGGTTCCCGCTGGTAGATGAATGTCCTCATGCTCTGAGCTCTGGTCGGTTACAGCTGCCAACCAAGCAGCTGTAGACCTGCAACTTTTCACGTTCCAGATTGTCGTGAACTGCACTTTTTGATTCTCCATGTTTGGAATCAGACGAGGTGATAGCTTCCATGGCGCGGAGACCCCGGTCGAGCTCTGATACCGAAGAATGATCGCGGGTACCCAGTCAAGAGACGTAACATCTTCAGAGCCAAGTATTGATGTCTTCTCGTAAACGTGAAGAAAATCGTCTTCAGGCTCATCGATGCGCAGCTTTGTGAAAAGGTCGACCGCTGTCTCCCAAAGAGTACTGCTCTGTATCTGAGGGGACCACATGGTGTCATGTGCAATTGTCGCAATCTTGACGCCTCCAGATCCCAATCGGGGAAAACTAGTGCCATACGAGGTCCCGGAAAAGAGTCTCAGGACGTGTATCGCAATGCGGTTGTCGCCGGAGTGTATGTAGGGGCTAATGTCGATCTCGTCGTAGAACCAAATGTTGACGTCGCCCTTCACAGGTCCAAACGAGACCAGTTGGCAGTTGATATAGAGCTTGTATCGCGTGTCTGCGGTGATCTTGATTCGCAAAGTCTTGGGTGGCTCTTCATTAACAATGAAGTTCTTTCGGAAATGAACAAAACGACCTGCAGTGGAAGAATCATCCTCGCGAAAGGAGGGATGCCACATCCAGGAGGTATCGAAAGTTTCGGCCGCCATCAGTGTTTTGGATAGAGTAGGAAACTTGCAATCTGCAGGAAGTTTTGACTTGAAGAAAAGGGGTTCTGCTTCCTAAGATGCAGTTTTCTTCAATTTTGTCTGAGGTCACTGAGAAGATTAGCGTCGGATGATGTTAAGCCGAATGGCCACGCGGTTACTCCGACACAGTTTCGGCGACATCATGGCTTTCTCTGGGGTACATGATTATTACGAACTAAACACATCGAGATCAATCGGAGATTCGGGATAATATAACACGACATATCTATCCTAGTGTGCTATTTAAGTTGCATGTATCCTCATAGACCATAGAGGCTTCAACAGCAGAGCATTTTAGCACTTCAGCATGGCTCGGTTCTATCTTCTCATTCTCGGCCTGGCTAATGTCCTTGTTAGTTGCCTTGCTTCTCCAGCGCCTCGGTCTCCTTTGTATACAGTGCCTAAAACTCAGCCGAAAAATGCGGCAACGTTGGATCCTACACCCGTGGGGGCGTCGTAAGTCCCCGTGCCTCGTTATTTGTTGATTTGAGTTGCCAGCTGAAGCTTTCCAGGTTTGAATTCTTTATGTGGCCTTCATACATGACGAATATATCGCTGGCTCTTCCATGTATCGACCACTTCAACAAACTCTTTCATCGGAAGATGCCTGTTCGTATCGGTGGCACAACACAGGACCGCGCAACATACGACCCTGACTTCGATGGATATGTATCCTACAGTGTCAACGATCCTCTTGAAGCACCTATGAACCTTACTTACGGGCCCAAGTTCTTCGATTTAATCAGTAAGTACCTCACAGCTCATACAAAATGATATTTCTCTGACCCACGAGTTTTCTAGAACAATTCGGCAGTGAGACAATGTTAGGTGGGTTGAATGGAATATTGATTTGTTGATTTCATACTTATAACTTCAAGGTCTGAACCGCGGCATGAACAATCGGAGCAACACTTTTTCTGCAGCCCTGGAAGCCAAAGCAAAGATATCCAAGCATCTATGGGGGTTGGAGCTAGGAAACGAACCTGATCGTAAGTCTAGCATCTCAACTACCAAGCCTAGTACTAATTCTTGGCAGTATTCGAGTACTGGAAGCTCCCTGCGGCTGTATCTCCCTGGAGGGAAACGCAAGAGGGAGCCGATGCAGCTGATTGGGCCCAAGACTTTGTCAATCACTGGAAGAAACCGCTTCCTATCCTTGCAGGAGGAGGATATGCCGTCCCATTTGAAATTGTGCCTGAATGGCCTAACTTGCCGTATCTGATAAACACAGCCTATAACCAGACGATCAAGGATGCGACAAAATTCTATAACGGGCATCTCTACTCGTTAAAGAACGTCACAGATAATAGTTTGAATGTCGAAATGGCCCACCAAAGAACAGTGTCCGATCTGAATATGCTGCCGATATCTAGTGCCAAGTCTGTCAACAGACCTTACGTTCTAGGTGAGGCTCATTTCGCATTGTTCTGTGGTTTCTTCCCAATGGATCACTCAATCCACAAGCTTGCCATCGCTGACACATAGACTCATTACAGGCGAGACAGGCTTTCACTCGGGCGACTATACAATGGACGCTACCTTTGGCTCTGCGATTCAGACGGTGGACAAGACCTTACATGGCTTGACCCTCGGTATCCAACGTATATTCTACCACCAGGGCACCATCGATCAAGGTATGTTTCTTTTCTTTTTTCCAATTAATTTCTTGTCTTGTAAAGCACCTTGACTAAATATTTAAGCATTTTTCAACTGGTGGTGGAGTGATCGTGTTAACGCTCCGTTTTACGGCGGTTATTTCGCAGCACTGGCTGTAGAAGGAGGAGACTCTATCTCGGCGAGCGACGATGGCACTGATTCATACGCGCAGTATGTGGTTTACAAGAAGGGAAAACCAATCAAGGTTATCTTAGTCAACACCGACTACTACTCTGGCAGTGGCTCTCGACCGACGACCAAGTTCACCATGACGGGATTGAAGAATGGTCATGTTGAAGCACTTCGCATGACGGGACCGAGTAGTGAGAGTTTGGTGCCTCGCTTGCAGACCGACCCGTCACTTGAACCTAGCATTGGAGGTACGTATGGCCTGCATATTGCCCAAATCAGACTTTCTGCGCTTGTCTTCACCAAGTCGCACTCAACACGGATATCATACTGACTTCGACGTAGGCCAGTACTTTTCCAACAATAATTGCAGCCTCCGAGGACACAAAAGGCCTGAGAAGTTCACGATTCAGAAGCACCAGCTTACAATCAGCCTCGCAGCATCGGAGGCTTTGATTGTTTATCTATAGGAAGGATTCGGGAGAAATGACTGAGGGCATTGTGGACGTTACAGATACGGGGTTACAAGCCGGACATGGCCAACGGACAAGCCTGAGTGGCTAACGTCTGTAGATCTGTAATTTTTGCAGAGAAATTCTTGAACCTTGGATATTTTTGCTGAACTTCATTTCTTGCATGTTTCTTTTCGTTGCTTATTACTAGTTCTGCATTTAGTTCCTTCTCCCAGAAGAGTATAGCACAATAGCACGAACAAGTATGACTATGTACACAACAACCACACCCTCACAAATCCAACACCCAACACTCCCCAACAATCTTCTCCCCAAAAGACTCATGTTCCTCGGAACTAACAAGCCGATACCCCTCCTTCGCATACAACCTCCTAGCCGACACAAGAACATTCTGCGTCCAAAGCCGGATCCGCGCATACCCCGTCTCGCGCGCAAACCGCGTACATTGCTCGATCAAAGCACGACCAAGTCCAAGACCGCGCGCACTAGGCTCAACAAGTAGGAGACGCAATTTAGCCGTGTTGACGACGTCTGGGTCTGGGTCTCGAATGAGAATTATACAGCCCAGAAACTCGTCGTTGCGCTCGGCGATCCAGCACCGGTCTGTGGATACGTCGTAGTTGTCGAGGAATTCTGCGCCGATTTTGCTTACTAGCGCTTCCATTTTTGTGCCCCAGCCGTAGTCTCTTTCATATAGTACTGCGTGTCGGTGGGTTATCCAACCTATATCACCTGGTTGGTGTGTGCGGAGGGTGTATCCCAGGGATTGGGGTTCTTGGGTTGTTTGGGTATTCATTGTGGATGTTTTCATGGGCTGGGGTTGGGTTGGGATAGGGAAAGGAAGGGGTTGTGGATGGCTAGGGAGAAAGTCGATATAGATATTTTACTGTGTAGAGCCCTTCCTTATCGGGACATGTCATTGGAAGGGCGTAGACTAAAAGAGAATATTTTCGAATAAAACTGACCCACCAAGGCGAGTTGGATTTTGATATGTGCAATTGAGAAATATGGACGAATTATATCCAAAACACGGATGTGGCATTCAATGCATTCAATCCAAGTGGTATACAACTGCAAAACATGAGGTCACGACAGGGTGCCTTGAGCATACATAAGCTATACACCTTCGGGCATGCAACCCGAACAAACCAGCCAAAACGGCAAACAACTCTACAATGGTATCCACGCCCGAGTCAAGATATAACCAGAAAAGAGACAAGAAACTTAATGGAGATAGGTGAGGACCTACGCCCCATCCTCAGTACTCCGCCCGAACCGGCCTCCAAAACCGCCGAGGTCGCGGCGGAAGAATTTGCCAATGTTCTTCAGGTTCTCGTTAAGATTTCCTGTGGCGCTTTCTGTTGGCGTATGCATGGGATTAATTTGTAGGGCGGAGCTGGCCAGGGAAGGGGACAAGGTGCCGGATGGGCTGGTTACGCCAGGTGTAGATGTAGCTGTCCCGGTAGCCCCAGCACCCAGAGTGCTCAGACTGGGGTTTCCGAAGCGGTCGACGCCGTCTTTGGCAGCGGACATGATGGCAGAGCCGAGCATGGAGGCGTCAAAACGGGAGGGCATGACTGCGGCGGCCGTGGTGCCTAGACCTAGGCCTTGGGATACGGAGCCGGTGGCGGTGGCGGATGGCCCTTGGAGGGAGGCGAGGATTGGGTTGCTCTGCTGGAGGCTAGATGCATAGCGGTCTGAGGCACGGTGAAGCTGGAATAGCTCCACAAGGTGGTTTTGATCTTGACGGCTGCGGATGCCTTTGAGATCGAGGATTTTGCGGAAGTTATTGTTATTGCGGTCGGCAATGTGGATAAGGTATGCTTGCACAAGAGCTTCCGGTGGTGACGGCCGGACCTGGAGGGTTTTGAGGAGAGTTTCGATTTTGAAGAAGCTGGCGTTCACACGCTTGACAAAGCCGGCGGGCGCTGGAGCAGGTAGCAGGGACGTAAGACCGCTCTTGAGAGTATAGGAATCAAGAAGCATCTATGAATGGAGTTAGTAAGATATATAATGACATCGCATAAGGGACATCATACCTGTTCTGCCCCGGTTTCTGAAAGCGGCCTGCATTGGAAGACATTGCTAATAAACTGGCTCGACATGAGCTCCACCAGATGATCGGAGAAGGCACGCGCATATTGCTGCTTATGCAGCAACTTTAAAATTCCAGTTGCCTTCTCCTTCGTCCGGGAAAGCATCTCGCCCACATATGAGCTCTGATCACTGACTGCCTCGATTTTAGCCCAAGGTGTATTGCGCATTTCGCGCCATGAAGGCTCGAGATCGACTTCGACTTGGCGCACAAGGCCGCGTACAGCAGCGGATGCAATGCCCATGAAAGAGTCTGCTTGACTTTGCAGATCCACAGACTGCTTCAAGTTCTCATCCAATCTACCCCTAATCTTCTCTTCCAATTGGGTGCAAGTCGTGTAGCAGTAATCAGCAGTGTTCAAAACTGAGACGTAATCTTCCACCGAGGGCACTCTAGACGGCGTGTGAAGTGTTGGTCGTTCACTTATATAATTGAGAAGAACTTGCTGGGCATATTGGTCCAGGTATTTGGCGAACACCTTGGCCAGCTCCGCTAGACTGCCACCAGTCGAGAGCTTGGCACATTGTTGCAAAGCGTGCCGATAGAAAGTGAAAAGCTCAGTCGAGGATGAAATCACAATATGTGAGTTGAATTCCTCCTCGTCCGGTACTTGGAGAGGTTGTTGGCGGTACTTCGGTATCAGGGCTGCAAGTTGTTTGTCTTGGGCCTCGACCCAGACACTGAGGTATGGCTCGAAGGCCTCGGAAATCGACTGGTTGAATACAGGCGGTTCGGCAGAGGCAAATGTATCAACAGATGTACGCGACGAAGGGGCGAAGCGACGCTCAAGAGAATGCTCGAAATCAAGCGTCTCTTGCAAGCATGAGAGAAGCAAATTGACATCGATCGTCTGTCCGCTTCGTACAGATCGGGATAAAATACCCTTGAAATCATCTCGTGTACCCTCACAGAAGACATTGGCCAAGACCTCATTTACCCTCCACGAAGCTGGGAAGATGGCCGCATTCTCTTCGTCATATATCTTCAATATGCGCCGGAACCATGAATATCGGCGGGAGATGTTATCCAATGATCCAGCCTCCTCGTTGTTCCGGAAGACCTGCCGGTACTCACGGAGCTGTGTATTGCAATACCAAGTCACCAGCCGGGACCGTGCGTGTTCACCCAGAGCATCTGCGACTAGACACGACTCCGCGAGCATCGCGCGCTTCGGGCCTACCTCCCCCTTGGCAAAGGCCAGCTCAAAGTCCTCACAGACCTGTTCTTGAAGGTCTCGCTGTATATCCGCGACATTCCGACTGAGCATTGCGATTTGGTCAATCGATCGGTATGACTTGAAATGGGCCATGAGCTGAATGACAGCTTGAAGTAGCTGTGCACATTCTCCATATTGCCGCGTCCGACTGAGAGCTTGGAGCTGATCATACGCCGTAGTCAGCATCTGCAGGCGTTTGAGCGCCGTCATGGACAGTGTGAGGTTCTTCTTTGCGTTGTCTAATTGCTTGATGTCGGCTGTCATGTCGGTGATTGACTGCTCGGTCTTCATTGCGCGCTCACGCACGTCATCGATCTTCTTAAACAGCTCCGACAGGTCAGCTTTAGCTGCCTGGATTCGTTCCACGCTATCGGCATTGGAGGTGACCTGCTCCTCCACTAGCATGCCGATGTTATCGTCTAGCTCATCTTCGCATTCGTTCAGGGCGTCGGAGATCTGAGAAACGGAGGATAGGGTGGATGGATGGGAGAAAACGGCATTCAAGTGTTCAATCGGATCGTAGTCCACTGGATGTACCTCCTATGTTAGCGTATACAGAAGCACGAGAGGTCAATTGTTCCGCACCCGCATCCAAGGCGTCGAGGCTCGGTTCCTCGTTTGGCGACATGTGGCCGGTGGTTGTGGCAGTGATCGTCATTCCATCAGCTCGCCAGAATCATCCTGCCCTTGGTCTCGTGCTTTGTGTGAGGCCAATGCGGAATTCGTGGGAGGGAGAAGTGAATGGGGGTTGATCGCGGCCCGCATGGCTCTAGCGCGCCAGCTTGGCATCTTCCGCAACTACCGCAATCTTTAGTGTTTTTAGGTACAGACAACCTACGACATTCTCAAGTCTACACTTTACTACTTATATTATGAGTGAAATTTTGACATACAGGATTCATTTGATTTTTGATTTTTCAAAGTTTTCATCAAGTTCCTGGCCCATTGGCCCATGTCCAGATCCGGAAGCTATCAAAGCAGTGCCATTCGCCCAAGCCATGCAAGTAAAAAAAAAAGTATGGTCACATCAGATGCATTATGCTCCCACAGAGCCACTCCCAGGATAAGACTGACTAGCTAACAACAATTGAAGAGGGAGTGGATGTGGAGGCTTTGAATGAAACCAGAACGTGCTCACGCCGGAGCAAGAAAAGCGGTGGGAGGAAGTGCATTGGTAGCCTGTTGTAAAGTGTCGTTAGTTATCATTACGTGGCAAATTGAGGGACCATCCTTGGAATCAGCTTACCTTGAGCTGCTCGAAGTTCTTCCAGGCGAGCTCGGGATTCCAGCCATTGCCCGCGAGGGCCATCTCTGAGTACTCGAAAGTCATGCCCGACTTGCCACTCATCTGAGTGACCATCTGCTCCTGCTGAAGCTGGGTATCGGACTTTCCGGGTCGGGGCAGGCCATATCCTTCAGCAACAGTGCCACTCGGGGCAGCAGCGGGGGGAGTAGGGGTCGCAGTGGGAACAGGACCAGGAGCTGCAACCTGGGGGACTTGGGAAAGTGCCTGGATCTCAGGGGACCATGCCTCATGTCCACCGTAAGCGCGCAGGCAGAAGATTTCGCTGACAACTCGGATGCCACCTGGGGTGTTACCGGGGCCAATAATAAAGGTTCGATCGAAGCTGCGGATCTCAATCTTGCCACCAACGCTCTCCTCAAGTTGTCCATGCACCATGAGGGAGAGGCCACCAACACCAGTGGGGCTCTGTCCAGTAGGGTCGGGGAGATGAGGGACCGGGTGGCATTCAACAAGCCATTGATCTGCCTTTGCGACAAGGTCGGGGTGGCGAGTGGGTGGGAGCTCATTGAAAACCTCACGGATTTTCTCAACGCCCTTGTAGGAGCGCGACATCCGTGCGGAAAGGTGGCTGATCTTGTCGAGATTTCGGCTCTTTCTGATGTATTCACCCCAACCTGCGGTCTCGGTTTGACCGGCCCGGGGAGCAGTGGTATTTACATTGAGCGAGAAAGTAGATTCATCATCGTAGACGCTGCTGACGAGGCTGTTGCGATCGTTGTCATATCCAGGGAAGAAAGCACGGACGAAGTTCTCGCCGACTTGCGATTCATCAATAAAGTGAGGAGGCAAGACGGGGATCGGTGTCTTCTTCTGAGCGGCGACCTCTTCCGGGGTTCGCACCTGCACGTTGTTCAAGGTCTGCAGCTTGGGATACCACTTGAGCATGGTGTCCTTGAAAGTCGGATCGGAACTGATCGGGTTATCAGTCAAGTCGAGGAAGATAAGGTTGCGAAATTTCCATCGCCATGCAGTCATCGCTTGCGCGTTTTTGATGTTGTTGTTTGAAAGGTCCAGATATTGGATATCTGGGAAAGATTGTGCAAGGGTCGTCACGGAGGTGATGTTGCTGAGGTTGTTTCCCGCCAGACTGACACTTTCAACTGCCTCACGTCGCTCGGATGCAATCTTGAAGCCCATTTCCCAGACCTTCATGAGAGCAGGGAAGAACTTAGACGTGGTAGACATGGTGTCAAA